GCTCCTAGATAAAGATCTTGTTCTAGATCTGGGCATAGATAGAAACGCATTTTTAAGAATTGTTGTTGATATTCTACCTCTACCTCTATTTTGCCCACTATGCGATGGGTTTTCCCTGACGCCGTACTTACATTCGTGTCCTGTGGATCAACAATAATGTTTAATTCCTCAACTATTTCTCGGCAATGCTTCCCTAGTATTGAAACCGTAGCCCCAGAATCTAATAGACCCTTTATCTCTTTCCCTTCGATTTTAATGCTAGCGTATGGTCTAGGATCCGTTCTATATTTGCACCGGATGACGGCTTCGGATATCAATTTTTTTAATTCTTTATTTTCTTTATGTCGTTGCCTCAATTTCATTATCCTCATTCTACTTTTCATATTTTTATTTACCCCTATGGATATTGATTCGGAATTATTGCGAGATTCATCTTCCTGAAAAATTTCTGCTCTTTTGTTTTTATAATGTCTCTGCCTGAACTCAATTGGAAGATAATGCCGAATTTGGGAATAGTTATTGACGATGGTATCAACTAATTCTACAGTGGGTTCGTCGCAGCGGGTTGTTCGGAAGAACGATGGTTCCCCGCTAGAACCACGTTCTTTCTCACGTTTCCCGCTTTGCAATTTCCACATTTGGGTGTTATGGTATTTTGCCTTCCACACTTAAAGCAAAATAGTCCTCTTTGGGACGACGGACAATCCCTAAATCCATGACCCGCTATTTGGCAATTCCAACAAACAATTTGGTTTAGGGCCGAAACATCTACTAACTCTTCCGGTTCTACCAAATTCGGATATTCTATTTCTTCTTCTTGCATGGCGTGTACACGTATGGGTCTGTTTATGGTTGGTGGAGGAGCTTGAGATAATGGGTCGCGTCGAAAAAATGTCCTCTCAATTTCCAAACACTCCACTCTTAGCTGCTCTAATGACGACACGGGCATCGAGTACACAATACTCGATAGATTCTTTCTCAAATTTTTCTTAACCAAAGAAATAATCTCGTATTCTGAGACTGGCCTTTCCAGTTTCGATCTCATTAGATTTATTTCATGAAAGAAAGCATCAATGGACTCGGTTGCCCCCTGTTTCCTTTCTAACAGATCCCGCATCGATTCAAATGTTGTTCGCCTTGTCTTGAATCTTTCATTTAACCCATGCTTTAAGGAATCCCAATCGTTAATGTTGTTTGACCTCTGTTGGAGCCAGAACCATTCATAGGCTGGACCAGACACCAAAATATGGAATTCATTTAAAATGTCTTCCCAAGCTAGTTTGTAATGTTGTTGAAAGTATTCCAGCCGGTAGATAAAATCTTCCACCGACAGACTGTTTGGTTTCCCTGAAAAATTTAATCCAAAACGTTCAACTTTTATTCCATGGATGCCAGTACTAATCACGGATGGAATCACAGTGCTTCTGCGATTACCATTATTAACATTATCTCTATGTTGTGTAGGGAACTCATCTGTAGGGTTTCCCGGGGGGTTCGGTAAAGTATTTGGTATTGTTGGCTGATTTTGGACATTTATCGATAACCTGCTGACATTATCGCTCAATCGGTTTATCACCGAGTGAATTTTATCCATTTCTTTGGCAACACTTTCTTCCACCCATGATCTCAAATACCCTCGGGCGTCATTCATACTTTCGCATACCATACTCCTGATTACATTGTTTACATCGCCTTGCTGATTACTTGGAGTAGGCGTTGGAGGTAAATTCGATGGTACCCTAGCACTCTTACTGGTACTCGGTTGAGTGTTGTTAATGGATCCGGACAAATCCCTTATTGTTGTATCCCTAATACCATTGGATTGCTCCATGTTTGAGACTACTTTTTTCTTTTTGTTATTAGGTTTGGGTGATTGTATAGAAATCCTGCTCGTGTCGAAAGCTAGTGTTCTATTGCGTTTACTTCTTCTTTTTCCCGCCGTATAATCACTCATCAGACTTCAACTCGTTTACCCAATTAATTTTATTAAAAAAAATCAATTGTCTATTAATAGCTGTGGGTTTACTTTTTTGTTGTGCCGAAATTTAGATTGCCACAATTTCAGATAATAAAAGCAGGGGTGTATGACTTAATGATTTAAAAATAACTAATTTAGAAAAGTTCTTTAAAAAACAAAATATATAAATACCAAAAAAATGAACAATAGTAATTAATACAATAAAATATAATTAAACCTATAAGTGTACTAAACATATAATCAAAACGCACTAATAAGCAGAACAAGTAAAAAAAAAATAAATAATTAAATCAAATAAAAATAAGAAAATAGTAAATAAAACTAAAATAATAATCAAAATAAGTTAAGGACAAAAACCATAAACAAAAACATTCAAACACAAGACAATATCAATAGTTAATAGTGATTTAAACAATGACGATGAGAGTTCGTTTGGTGTTTTTTTTTTTTTTTTTTTTCAATTGCTTTTGAGGTTGAGTGTGTGGACTTATTTCATTATGTTATAAGAAATCCTATCACGCATTATAAGTGTCCTTTTACGGTTGTTCTGGTGTACTGCTAGACTGGACTTTACATATTCACTTATTTATTTTGTTTCAAAGACAAACATTTAGAGACGACCACCACGGCAGTTTTCCCATCATAAGAGAATACGGATCTCGTGAAGGAGGTTAAATTTTCTTTCGTACAATACAGTTTGCGAAAACTTCTTCACGAACGCTATTGTACTTTTCCTCTCTTATGTCATCTCGATTTGACGACTTCGAAACAATAAATACAAAAATTACATAAAAACATAAATTTGAGGGTAAAACCACGGCAGTTTTCGAAAGAAAATAACGAAAAAGATCTCGTGAACAAGTACTTCCGTACAATGCACATTGAGATGCTTCACCTCAAGCTTTGCACGTTTCCCTTATGTTATACCCTACGTCTATTTTTTCTACTTTAAAATAAAACATACAGAAACACAAAAAAAACAGGTCATAAAACACAATACATTCATTGTTACATTGAACTAACAAGATTATTGCACCTGACCCTTGTAGTTGGAACGACAATCCTAATTTTCTAAAAACCTCATCTACTATTGCACGTTTATCACAAATTTTAAAGAATTAAAGCTGCGTCTGCAACATGAGATAATCGTTGTAAGAAAATGTGATTTTCGCTTATGCCTATTTGAACCCTATAGTTTATTGCACTGTGCTAAGCTGTTATTGCACTGAATTTAAGACATTATAGCTTTCGCTTGGGCGCCATATTGTTACGTGCCACCTGCTTCGGCACTATGGTGTTGTGGCCGCTAGCTCAGGAGCCATGTTCAGGGGTTGGTTCCATCCCATACACCAATAGCCTTGGGGACGAACAATTAAACAATTAATGGATAAATACAAACTCTACATAACACAAACACTACGTACACCTGGAACAAAGGAGTTTGATATTGCCACTCCCACACTAGCCCGCCCAACCTTGACCCTGAGATCCTACATAACTGTCAATTTTATCAGGGCCCCGTATTCCACACCCACTCCCCTCAGTACAATGTACACCAAATTCACTCTCTCATGAATGAACTAGACAATCATGATTACACAAACAATCATATTACGAACAATTTATTAGTATATAAGATTTCCTTAAAATAGAACAAACAAGCTGAAATTTGAAACATTAACTATCAGGATCTCTTAGTCATTGTTTGAGGAGTTCATATATATCAGACCACCCTTCATTACTTCAGTCAACTAAATGTCACCAAATTTTGGACTTTCTAAGTTATGCAATTAGTACCTGCCTAAACGAGCTCTCTTAGGTGGTGAGGGATCCGCAAACTGGTCCACAATATTCAACGGAACCTCAAAAAAAATCTTGATTATAACACTCAAAGTAATTTGGGGTAACCCTACACTCCAATTTACTTATAAAATTTAGAATAGTTAATGTCCCTCACAAAAACAAGAACATTTATGCTGGACACAAAAAAAAAACACAAATAATAAACTTAGACAACACAACTTAACCTAAATATATTATCTTAATTAAAAATTTGAATATTATATTAGTTCTTTCTCTTAATTTATATGAATTTTTCTGCCTTTTGTTTTTCTTAAAATTTTATTTAATGGAATTTCTCCCTTTTTCTGTTGCAGGGTCTCCCTCCTGGTTCTGGTTTTTATTTTATGCCAGTGGTTGTATCAAACAAGCGGTAAGTTTAATAAATAACTTTGTTACCTGGCTTTTTGCATTCTTTAGTACAACCTGCTTTGTTCTTTTCCAGGATCACTCTTCCGCGACCTCGTCCACCAGGATAAAGCAGAACCCGGATATCATGGATCAAGGGAATTGGTGTTATGGAGGCGGTTGCTGGGGCCTCAATTTTGCGTTGTGGTGGTTGCTGTGGCCGTCAAAGATGGGCTGACCTCTCCGCTTTTGTTCGCCGAGGAGGCCAGTTGATACCCTCGAGAAATTTAAATTATTTTGGCGAAACAAATCAATTACTAACGCCTTCACCATAAATAATAAAATAAATATCGAGGCTTTTATTGCCTTAAAAAAAAGTAATTTTTATTTTGAAATTTGGCAGGTTTTAATTTTTTTTTTACTTTTATGACCACTATTTTACTGTCGCACCACTTGAATAATCAGGGCGCGTTTTCCTTTTTCCCCCTTTTATACCTACGGGACTGACGCGGCATTTTTCCGCTTTTCGGCTTTTCCTTAATTTTTCCTGACATTTACCTTCTTTATGATACCGACCTAACGAGCCCTTACAATATCGCAGGTTGTATTTTCGATTAATTTATCTACCAAATAATCGATCCAAATACAACACTGGCAGTGGTGGCAATTCTAATTACCATTGGGACAGAACATTTCCGCTTCATTTTTTAAACACGGGTTGCTGCGGTTTGCACGTCGCGGATGTTAGCTAAAAAAAACATCGATTAAAAATTAAATAGTGCCCACCACGCAACAACATTTACGCTTATATGTTTTATATAATACCTTTACTTACTTTTTTGCGTGTGTGCAACGGTTTATGCCATACTTTCTTCATATTCCACTTAAAATTTTTAAAAAATTTAAATTTTATTCCAGTAATAAAGGCAAATTTCGAAATTTGATTGATTTTTTACGTTACATTTCAAAAAAATCGTAGTGTCTAAAGTTCCCTACTATATGTTATCAATCCATCGTGAGTGCCATAATATAAAGGGAGAGCTGGCAACACTAGAAATTGTCATATGCAATCGCTGTTTTTATTTTGGTTTTTATCTTTATCACACATTCCCGTTTTGCGCTTTTCGGGCACTGAACGCCGTCATCGAAATGGAAATGGAACTTTGTAATCTAGGAGATAACGGAGAAGAAGAAGAAAGCCGGCAATCGAAAGTCGACTTACCTATCCCTATAGAGAACGCTATCAGCCGTTTTGTTTTGATTCCACATATTCTTTTCAGTGTTGCCACATCTGATAGTAGCTAGTTCCGCGCTCCTTTGGTGAATGTGTTCAAACCACTTATGTTGTCGGCCGTTTTGTTTTGATTCCTTTTGTGTTGTCCGCCTTTCTGTTTTGATTCACATCTTTATTAGATTTTCTTTCTGTGCTCTCTTTCTTTTCAGTGTTGCCACATCTGATAGTAGTTAGTTCCGCGCTCCTTTGGTGAATGTGTTCAAACCACTTATGTTGTCGGCCGTTTTGTTTTGATTCCTTTTGTGTTGTCCGCCTTTCTGTTTTGATTCCCATCTTTATTATCGATTTTCTCTCTGTGCTGTCTTTCTTTTCAGTGCTGCCAAGTATCCTTTGTTCGTTACTTCACTCTCCCGGTGGCGTCGGTGGCGACGGTTTGGTGTGTAAATTGTTAACTCATTAAGTTTTTAACAATTATTTAATTATTTATCGTATTTCGTATAAAAATGTATATATAAATGTGTAGGAACAAATAGAACAAATGTGTATATGTATGATTTGAGATTGTGCGTGATTTAGAAAACGTAAAAACAATAAAACAAATCCAACGCCAACATAACCTCCAATAATAAAATTATTTTATTAATAAATTAATATAATAATATAATTAAATAGGATCTCAAGGAAAACAATAAACAATTGAAGCAGACAAGACCGTCAAGACCGTGGTGGTGGACAACAATGCATCATTAATATCATTAATGAAGCAAAACCAAGCGTGAAATACTCGGTCAACAATCTAGGTCTTTTGGAAATCCTGCGTCTATCAAGTGCCAAACGTAGCAAATATGGAGGTCCAAGCACTGCTCAACAATTATTTGGTAAGTTTTTGCAGTTCTTTGGACTTGGACGAAGTAATTTATTCTTTTCTCATTAGAAAGTGGAGACGATTGAAGAGGCTTTCCTCAGCGTCATTGTTTACCATCCAAATGGAGAAGCGGATAAGGCAAGCAAGTTTACAAATGACATAGGTGAGTGGGGAACATACATAAACTTAAACGCCGCTGTAACCAAATGTTTCTTATTTCCAGTAAAAGCCTTTGGAAATATCCACCCAGACAACAAGGAGAATGTGGTGAGACAATACTTGCAGAAAGCAGCCACTGTAACTAACGCGAATCACCTAAAGGTTTTGATGTCTACTCTAGGCAAACTAACAGAATTACATCTGATAACTGCTAAGTGAGTAGATAAATTCCCGCAAGAAATCCCTCTAAGAATATACAACTTCCTTCTATTTTAGATTGCTTTGTGAAAAGATCCTTCTTTGCGACAAACTTAATTATGAGAACAAACTCTTCTGGATCGAAAGTTTCCAATTGATTAAGAAAGTCATACATCACGTCGACTACAAGAATGTACGTGAAATAATGAAGATAACCCGTGATAAGGCTGAAACCTTTCCTTTCAACGTCAATGTAACATATATACCACAATTATTGGCTTTGGAAGACACTATACGATACATATTTGATCGAAACAGTTGTTTATTGCCGGCATATTTCATTGCCAATGAATTTATGAAACCCTCACTCCATCATTGGGTAAGTTTTTTACATTAGGGAAACTGTTAATCTCTAACCACTGTTCATTTCATTTAGAAATTAAACTCCTTGATGACAGATGCCCTGGAGGAATTTCGTATGACTGCACAGATGGTATCCATAATTGGCCACGTACATATGTTACCAATTGTTGAACATTATGGTTATGCCGATCATATGATGAATTCATGGAAACTCGATTCGAATAATTTGACATTTACCTACAAGGGTACTTTACCCTTCGAGCTGGAGGAGCAGCCACAACTTTTACGCTATGTCTTGGCACAAAGTTATTCCAAGGAAATGGTTTCGATAATGCTAAATCTGCAAAAGCAACAAAAACAACGTTGTACTACATTGGAAGATCAATTGGTGAATTTAATTATTAATGCCATGGAAATGACTGAAACAAATGACAATGCAGCTGGCAGTGGTTTCAATTCTCCTGAAGAACAAATACCCCACAATGAATGGGCTTGGTTGCATTTGTCTTCGCAACTTATCTACTTTGTGCTCTTTCAATTTGCTAGTTTTACACACATTGTCTTGGCCTTGTGCGATAAGGTATGTAGGGGAAATTGGCCCTTTTTTCATAAAATCTGTTTATGTTTACAAATTATTTCAGTTGTCCAAAAAGGAGCTGCGCAAAGGCAGGGATAATCTAATGTGGATATTATTGCAATTTATTTCCGGTAGTATACAAAAAAATCCGGTAAGTCATTATTCCGTATATCTAATCTGAATATTGAAGACTTATATTTTTTGTATTGGATCATTTTGTTCTAGATTGAGAACTTTTTCCCTATGTTCAAATTGTTTGATTTATTGTATCCGGAACAAGAGCCCCTGAATTTGCCAGATTGTAATAAATCTTCATTACTGAGACAGGTATACTCAAAAATTTATAGTTTATTGTCCAGCCAAAGTACTCTGGCAAACACCAATAGATTATGCTTACAAATATTATCACGTTTTAGATGGCCCCCATTTGCATTTGGATACATTTAATGAAAAAAGCCAGAGCATCGAATATGAATATCTCTCGTCCCCTGCCGATAGCATTGAAAGGTCATTACGAGTATGTAAATCAATTGGGAAGAAGTTACGTTAAGAGGAACAATATAATAAATACTTTTCAGTTATTTACAGCATTTGATCATGCCCAATGCCATAATGCCCATGAATCTGGGTACAGATTTTCGCATTATTCTGGTTTGCAATGCATACTCCACTAATCAGGAATATTTCACCAGACCCATGAACCTTTTGGTCGAGGCTTTGGCAGGTAATGCTAAAACATCTACAGGTGCTCCAGTACAACCGGTACCGTATTCTATGGTCGTATTGGACAGTTTAACCGTTCACAGCAAAATGTCCTTAATTCATGGGTGGGTATCAAAAATAAGCAGATTCAAACAAATTTCAAAAATATTCCTTCTAGGTTTGTTTCCCAAATGATCAAACATGCCCAATGCAAGACCTCTGTACCCACACCGGCATTAATTGAGACCTATGCTCGCCTTTTGGTCTACACTGAGATAGAATCGCTGGGCATCAAGGGATTTTTAAGTGAGTGAAGCGTGAATGAACTATTTCTTACGACTAACCACCACCACCATATTTCATTACAGCTCAATTATTGCCCTCGGTATTCAAACATCAAGCTTGGGGAATGCTACATACTCTTCTGGAAATGTTCTCCTATAGACTACATCACATTCCCACACATTATCGGGTGCAGTTAATATCGCATCTTCACAATTTTGCACCCATTCCCCAAACCAATAAAATGCAGCTGAATTTATGGTAAGCTTTGCAAATTTTAATTTTTACTGTATTAAATCTTATTTCAAATCACAACAGTTTTGAATCAACAGCACTTCGTTTAATAAATGGCTTGGGCTCAGTTGAATTTCAGCCACAACTTGCTTTATATTTCAATGAGAAATCACCGGGATCTGTAACATCTGCCGAGAGCGAAGAGCTTAACCGAGTTTTTATTCTATCTTTAGCCCGAGCAATGCATATCACCGGATCCGGAGAAGAAATTCAGCCCTTGTGCAAAGACTTACTGTCGACAATTATGCAAAATACTCCACATTCCTGGGCTTCACATTCATTGGCCTGTTTTCCACCCGCCTTGGCGGAATTCTTTACCCAAAACAATCATCCCGTGGAAAATAAGCAGTTGCTCAAAAAATCCGTAGAGGAAGAATATCGCACCTGGACATCGATGAGTAACGAAAACGACATTATCAATCATTTTATAAAGCCCAATACAAGTCCATTGTTTTTGTGTCTGCTCTATAAAATGATATGGGAAACTGAAAGTATAAGTCCAGTTGCCTACAAGTGAGTTAGTCGAATCGAATAATAAATGTGGGAAATAATGTTGGTGATCTTATCTTACAGGATACTGGAAGGCATTAGTGCCCGGGCCTTGTCGGCAAATCTACGAAAACTTTGTGACTATTTAGTTAGTGAAGTGAACTCAATCAACGGCAAGGAATTCATACATAAATGCGTCGATTCAATTAACAACATGATATGGAAATACAATGTGGTAACCATAGATCGCGTGGTCTTGTGTCTGGTCCTACGCACCCAAGAAGGCAACGAGGCCCGGGTTTGTTTCCTTATTATACAACTTTTACTACTAAAAACTTCGGAGTTGCGTAATCGCGTTACAGAATTTTGTAAAGAAAATCCTGATCATTGGAAACAAAATAATTGGTAAGCACAAAACCTAAAGGTCTGGAAAATTGCTTGAACTACTTAAATTCAATTTATCTTAAAGGCATGAGAAACATTTGTCCTTCCATCAGAAGTTCCCCGAGAAATTTGCTCCAGATGAGTCAGCATCACATCCACCTTTGCCAGTGTATTTTTCCAATGTTTGTCTGCGTTTCTTACCGGTGTTGGATGTGGTCATACATCGTTTCATTGAAATGCAACATGTCCATCAAATTGCAGAAGTGATTCTAGATCATTTGAGTATTTTATACAAATTCCATGGTAAGACAGCAAAACCCCTAATTTTTCGCTTAAAATTTTATTGTAAACATACACACTTTCAGATCGTCCCATTACATATTTATACAACACATTACACTTCTATGAACGGATTTTGAGAGAGCGGCCGTCGTTGAAAAAGAAATTGGTAAAGTATAAATCACAAGTTGCCACAAAAATTTCGTACTATCACGTTTTGTGTTTATCTCGATATAGGTTAGTGCTGTGACAGGTGCATTTTGTGATATCCGTCCGGCCAATTGGTGTGTAAGCGAACAGTACAAACTGTATTTGCAAAGTCCAGATTTGCTGTGGAATCCTGAGTTATCTTATTATATAAAACTCATTGCACGCTTGACAGAAAGTAAGGCCTTTACATATGTAGCTGCAATAAAATAGTGATCCTTCTTTCCTTAACAGCCATAAGTGGTAAAAACGTATTCTACAACACTGATTGGCGTTTTAGTGAATTCTCAAATGCTCCATCGCATGCTAGATATGTCACATGTGTGGAACTCTTAAGCTTACCAGTTGCACCACAAATTGTGGCCAATAATCTCATAGATGTTATTGTAAAAGGCTATGCCTTGATACCACAAAAGGAAATCCATGCCTATTTAAATTCTGTAGGCATTGTATTGGCCGAATTGCCGGAAGCCTACTGGAGTCAAATCTATGAAAGGTTGCAAGAAGTAATGAATTCGCCCAAAATGCTGCGATGGTCATATCGTTTCAATGCATTTGAAATGTTCAACTTTAAAATGGTACGTGAGGCCATGATAGAGAAGACATATGCCGTAATTTTGGCTGTGGCCCATTCAATTTTCCATCATATGGGTGGCTTTAAATTAGGCACAATGATAAAGTGAGTATTGACAACCTTACATGGCTATTGAATCTAATTTAACACTTTTTCCATGACCTGTCTAGGTACATTTCGCAAAAACTTAAACCCTGTGTACGCACCGAACATCAATTGATATTTTTGTGTCACGTATTTGGTCCGTTTCTACAACGCATAGATATAGAGAAACACAATGGTGTGGCAAGCTTAGCCATATTACTCTATGAAATGCTGGAAGTTGTAGATAAACAACATGGACCCGCACCTCTGGAATATCTAGACCCCATTTGTGACTTTTTGTATCACATTAAATACATTTATGTTGGCAACAAAATCAGGAATGAATGCGAAGCAATAATCAAGCGTTTAAGACCAGCATTACAAATGCGTCTACGCTTCATTAGTCATTTAACTGTCGAAGACAAGCACATCGATAATAAGCCCCCGGAAAATGTTCAGCAACAACAACAACAACAAATGCAAAATGTCAGCAATCTTAATACACAAATGGCCCAACAACAGCAACAACAATCAGCGCCACCAACGAACTTTGTCAATAATTCAATGCAACAACAGAATTTTGGAAATATGACCAATCAACAACAACAACAGCTCCAGCAAGGCTCAATGCAAAACATGGCAAATAATCCATCACAACAGCAAGGTAATCAGAATGCTCCACAAATGTCTGGAATGCCAGGACAGCAGCAGCAGGCTACACAAATGACTCAACAACAAATGCAACAGCAATTGCAGATGCAGCAACATTTAATGCAACAACAGCAGCAGCAGCAACAAGGCGGACAAATGCGTCATTAAAATATTAAAAATTATTCATAAGAAATAAATAATAAGCATACATAATATATAAATGTACTACTTACTAGTAAATAACATTGTTTTTAAACAAGACCAAGCTTGTTTTATTTGATTCCCGGTCCATTTTAAAGGTATGTATGTGGTAGTTAATTTTTTTCGTTTCGTTTTTTTTTTCTCAGTCAAATTTGTAAAATCCACGAAATACCAGGCAAACAGAATCGATTAGCAAGGATTACTTTTATTTTTAACAAGAATACCAATGAAATCTAAAGCATACTTCAAGGATGACGATTATGAGTTACAGCGCCATCTAGATTTCACAATGCCTAAACAGCCACATTCAAGATAAAAACGAGTTGTAAACCAAAAGAACATTATATTTATAGATTCGACAAATCTTATAACTACATATTTCAGAAATAATACCAACATTAGCAACAAATTGCATCATTTATTTCTCTTAATCTAACAATTTCTTTTTTGATTTCGGAGTTGATATTGTCTTTAAAGCCACTCGCCTTGGAGTCTTATTACTAGGTGTTACTGGAGGCTTTGCTGAATTTTCATTCTTACTTTCACATTGCTTAGCAGCATTTTCTGTCTGTGACGAAGAAATAGCTGGAGCTTCCTCCACCGTCTCCTCATAAACTAAACAAATGTCCTCGGTACGATCGCAAGTAACATCGCTTGTTGGCAGTGGTTTAACACCATCTTCCTTTGTGATGGTTGTAGTTTTGGTCGGGGGTTGATTCGACTCTTCTTTATTTAAAGGCCAAGCATCCATAGCCTCCTCGACTAAAGTGGGAGTATTTACCGGTGCAACCGATATGGAATTGCGTGGTGTCCTTCTCACTGATATAGGTGTAGCCTTTTTCTCTCGTATTGGTGTTTTAGTAGGTTTATCTTCCACCGAAGAGGATGAGGCGACTGAATTTAGGGCTTTAGCAAATGTTGTGGGACTTTGGGAGACCTGTGAACTGGTGCTTGGTGTGCGTGGATGCCGTCTCACCGATATAGGTGTTGCAGGACGACTCTTCTTTTCTGGAGATTCGAATTTTTCTTCTGAACTTAAAATTTCTTTATCCAGAATTATAACCGGCTTGGGAATTTTTGTCGGAGTTTTTTGTTCTGCATCATCTGTAGTTTTATTTTCGTCTTCCTTGGGATTTTCAACGGGACCTGGCTTACGTTTGATAGCAATGGGTGTAGCGGCTTTTTCTTTAGCACTTCCATCAGCTGGCCCAGGTTTGTGTTTGATGGCAATTGGTGTTGGTTTTTGTTTATCTTTTTCACCTTTGCTTTCTGGTGTATTAACTGGACCTGGCTTGCGTTTGATGGCAATAGGCGTTGCATCTGCTTTCTTTTCCTTATCCGATTTTGTTGCAGAAGTCTCAGTTTTAGCATCACCTTGACTTGGTTTACGCTTAATCCCAATTGGTGTTGCTTCTTTTTCTGATTTGTTTGGAGGAGTTTCTGTACTGCCTGGTTTACGTTTAATGGCGATTGGTGTAGCCTGTGATTTGTCTTTGCCATTCTCTGTGGCTTCTTCTGCCTTTTCAATTGCTCCTGGTTTACGTTTAATGGCAATTAGTGTAGCCTGAGATTTGTCACTATTTTTTTCTGTGGAATCTTTGGCAGTTTCCGTGCCTCCTGGTTTTCGTTTAATGGCAATTGGTGTAGCTTTTGGCGTATCATCTTTATCTTCCCTAGTGTTGAGTTTTTCTTCATCCGTTTTCGCAGGTTTTGGTTTTAATTCTTCGTCTATTTTCTCCAAAGATGATTCTTTTGAGGTAGCTACAACTTTTGATTCACTACTTTCATCAACTGATGATTTTCGATTTCTACCGTCATTATCCTTTGCTTTCTTTGACTTTGTATTCTTGGCAATAACTTGGGCCAAAGCAGCTTCCAGCACTGCATCAGTATCCTCGTACACTTCGCCCAATTCTCCCTCGTCGAATGTAATAAGCGAACAAAAACCATCCGTGCTGGAAACTACCACAACACGGCCATCATTCGACCAGGCTATGTCCGTTAAACGAGTATAATGGATATTGGAAATTAATGCAAACGGTTGCTTCTGTTGAGTATCATAGAAGTAAACTGAACTTTTCGTTGCCACAGCAAATATCATACGATATGGCAACGGAACAACGGGTGGGTTCTTTTCTTCATCATGCGGCCGAAGGCGATACAGCAGTGGAGAACAACGTACAGCCACCGTGTATTGTTCGGGACAGGGTAGAACTATAGCCGGTTGACGGAAGTTGAAACGGCTAAACACATATGTAGTATGTAGGGGATGGGTGCATCCATCATAATCTGTTACGCCAGCTGGTGTAAGTAAAAGCTTTCCATCTGGTGTAAAACAAAGGCGACGGAAAAACGTTTGAAGTGTATCATCATGAAAGAGATGCATTGTTTTTCCATGCAAATCATTGCCCTCTGGAACGGGCAGTGTGCCTTTTCTGATGCGATGTAGTACTTTCTTCGACTGTATGTCAAAAATACGTAAATACCTAAAAAATTATGCGATTAGACAGTTTTTTGCTTTTATATAGCTAATAACATACCTATCTGTGCTTAGTGTGGCTATGTATTGATTTTTCGGATCCCAAGCTACACCCTGCACAAAACCTTTGTGATCACTCAATATGGCCAATGATTTGCCCTTTTGTACGTCCCACACCATGGCAGAATTATCCACAGATCCCGATACCAAAAACAGAGAGTTTGGAGACCAACTTAAATCATAGATGTCTTCCATGTGACCGCGCAACACCTTCAAAGTGATCCACACTTCTTTGTCTTGGTCATTGGCAGGATCCAAAATATTTATTGGTTCACTGTCAGATTTTTGCTTCCATATAAATACTACACTCTCGTCGTCCCCAGATGCAAGTAGTTCTCCACTCGGGGACCATTTCACGGCATTAACAGCTCTTTGATGGCGAGTTAAATCAGCGGCTAAATCCAATTCAATATCGCCATGGTCACCAGACGTCAATTTCATGTACCAAATTAGAACATGAGCGTCTGTTCCACCCGAGCACAAACGGTAAATGTTATCCGAGGATTTGGGCTGTATATCGACACTTAATACTGGATCACGATTATGCCATGATATTTCGGGTATTTTGCACTTCATGTTTATGTGAATTTAGTTAAAAAATTACGTGGAAATTCCTTTAATTATGATTTTTTTAATTTTCTGCAGCAAATGAGTAAAACACTCTACCCTCTAGCTGCTAAAGTAAAGGCGCGCAAATACTTACTTTTCAATCACTTTGAAGGGATACTTCTATTCTTCTTCTTGCACATTGAAATGATAGCCCACAATTTATGATGATTATTACTTGAGTAAGTAACGCAATGCACAAGAAAGTGTGCATTGTTGAAATAACATAATTTTGAAGGACAATTCAATTGCATACACCTTAAAGCCATTGCTCCCAAGAAAACTACATGTTTTTACCGTCTCTTTATTAATTTTAATTTATTATATAATATATAATTTTATATTAATTCAAAGTTTTATCTCTCTCTAACACCGGGAGATTTTATTATGCTGTTGTTTTTTTTTTACTTTTACATACAAATATGGTTTTAAAGGACTCTTCTTTGTTTTTTTTTGCGAATGTGTTTATTTTGGTTTTTCATATTTTAGTAGTTTTTTCTACTTGACGAATCAATTTGTATTAATTTTTTATGAGAATAATATTTTTACGGAATCTTGATAAAGGGAAAGGTATTGAAACTTAAAAATAACAAATACAAAGAAACCCATGTTTTACCATTCTGAAAATCATGTAAAAGCTAAACCACACAAATTGTATTTGGACAACTAAAGCGATTTTGTAACTGGTTAATTTTTTAATAATACCAGCTTTAAGAAATTTCATTACTGTAACTTAACAGCTTTACTTTTTTTTAACATCTAATGATCTTTTACTAACTAGTATTAATAACTCGTTTGTAGTTTTTTTTCTTTTATTGTTTATTTGGTTTCATTCATTTCTTAATCTTTTGGTTTTTTTTGAAAGAGGTCATTCAGGAAAAATTCTAGCCGTTATTAAATGTGGTGTCCTGCCTGTTGTATAAGACGACGCAATGCGTGTAAAGTAATAAATGTTTGATTGTGTATAGATGTGTGTGTGTGTGAGTGGGCGTATTGAGTTTGAAATTGAACTACCTAAATAAACCTAGGGAGAGACAAATAGACAATTCCAACAAAACTTAGTTTTTGGGGAATACAATTTGTGAATGCAGCTATATATAGTACTTCCTTATTAAGTCTTGTAAGTTTATTTAGAATAGCTCCCGTTTATAAGCTTTTGTTGTTTTCTTTTTGTTTTTTTTGTATATATATGTGAAAAAGTGGTCTTATTTTGTTCTTGTGAGTTTTGAGCTTAGAAAAATGTGAATGATGAGTTTTTACAAGGATAATATGTAATTTTCTTCTTTTTTATTGTTTCTAATACAGACACGTATAGAAATTGAGAGAGACAAAGGGAAAAAAGTCCGAAGAAAAAAAGAAAGAAACAGAACTGTTTTATGAAGTTTTTTAACGGAAGTTTTCTTTTTAGAAATATTTGCAATCAGATTTATTAAACCTTAAAAAATAAAGAAAAAAATCATTCTTTATTTATTGTAATTCTATACTAAATCTCAAAAAAAACCATATGGGAATTTTGTTTAAATTGTGGAACATTATTTCCTCTTAAATGTTTCACATTTAAATTGTTCTCTGATTTTGCAGGGATTCCGTCTGTTTACTTCTCACAGTTTTCTTGCAAAAGAGAATAAAACTACTTTACTCTCTCAGAAAAAATTTGCTGGACAATTCTTGCATGAAACGTTACCAGACATTACTATTAATGTTCAAGTAATTGAAAAAAGTTAAAAAATTGGTAACATAACTTATTTATAGTTAAACTTTGAAAAACTAGAAAAATCAAACTTAAGATAGTAAATCCCACAAAAAAAAGGAATTGGTTATTTCCATGAAATAAAAGTTTAAAAAAATGTTTTATATTGTAAAACGTTATTGTAAAATTTTGTTTGCCTTATTTCCATAGTCTCTCCCAATTTGTATAAGTATGTATGTACGTAGTAGATATATTCCTGCAGAGTTAGAGGATGTATTATCTCCTGTTTTATGTTTTGTTTTGTTGTTTGTTTTTCACTATGATGAAACATATTAAATTTCTTGCTGTATTGTTTTTATTTTATTTTTAATGATTTTGTTTAATATTCTCTCAAAATTATTTGAAATATTTCTAGTAAATAACTTTTTTGTTTGTTATAATTACATCTTTTTGTTGTTTTTTTTTTTTTGCATTGGAGATTTTTTTTTGTTTTTTTCATTTAATTTCTTGTTATTAATGTAAACGTTTAATCTATTTGTGTTTTGGTTTTTTAATTTAAATTATTTTTTGTTGTTGTTTTTTTAATAAATATAATTACAAATAATCTGTGTTTTTTTCTTCATTTTGTTTAGAGATTTGTTCTTGTTGTCTTTATTATTATTTGTAAAAATGGTCACTTTGAAGTTTGCTATTTTTTATTTGTTTAATGGTAAATAATGTTGTTTTGTTTCTTTTAATTTTCTTTAATGATAATTTTTCTGTAAAAATTGTGAAGAGAAAAAATTAGTTTTTTTTTGTTTAATATATATACTTTTGTTTAATTTATTTTGTCCATGTTTTTTATTGTTTTTATTTGGTATTTAAATGTATAGGTATGTTGTTTTGTGATTTATATTAGTTTTGGTTTTTTAAGATATCTTTTCTCATTCTTTTGTTGTTGTTGATTTTATTCCTTATTTTCGAAGATGAAGTTGTGCTTTTAAAAAAGTATAAATATGAGCTTTAAAAGTTGTTAAATGCTGGTTGTATAGTTGTTGTTATAGAAGGTATAATTTAAAAAAAAAAATGAAATATTTATGCATGTATTCAGTTTAATGGTCAGTTAGTAATTCCCTCTAAATTGTCGTTGCCAAAAGTTAATGTTTTTAATAAAATACAGGCCAAATTAAGATAACTTTGGAAAATTTGGTTTAGAAAAATACTGAAAAAAATTGCTTGAGAAAATGATTAATAATGGTACCTAAATTGAAAAATTTAAAGCAGATAAGTTCGAATACAATTTGAGCTTCGAATGAAAAAATATCACGATAAGCTGATTATTTACGAAGTTGTATGAAATATTAATATTTCCAATAATCGTGCCATTCATTTATTATTTTTTTTAAATTTTAAAATTAACAGGAATACAGGGCGAGATAAAAAACTGCAGCCAATTTTAGAATGCCATCATTTGTTAGCCACTCGTCTGACAGCTGTTAAAATTTTTCCAGTTACAGCTCATTATAATGTTTACAAGCATACAAAAGCATTGTGGTAAGAATTGTCGCTCTCCGCTCGTATTAATACACCTAGGGCATCAGAATAAATGCCCAATATTATCGCAAAAATATTCTGGAGGGTGTATTAAAACCTTGGGCACGCAAACACTTGGCCATTCCAACAGGACTCAGCACCATCGCGCTCAACACGCCGCACCCAAGAATGGTTACAAAATGATGTTCCTCTCTTCATTTCCAGCGCACAATGGCCACCAAAATCTCCGGATACCAATCCGTTGGACTATTGTGTCTGGAGTATTTTGGAAAGCAAGGTTGGCACTAAAAAATACCAAAGTGTCGATCACCTTAAGCAAGCGCTTCGCCGGGAATGGGCCAAAATACCTCAGAGCAAAATTCGGGCAGTGTGTGACGTGTGGTTTTATTTGCCGTTTGAAGGCCATATTTCGTGCCAAAGGTGACCAATTCGAAAAAATCTAAACTTATTCTAAAATTTGACATTTTTTGATTTCGTTCAATAAAATTTAAAAGCAAAAAATGTAAAAATTATGGCGTTTGATTTTGTTGCAGTTTTTTTATCCCACCCTGTTTTCGCATAAACTTACCAACGTTTGCCAAGGAATTGCGTTCAGCTTTCAAGTGCTTTAAATTAAATGGTCTGACAAATAAAAAATTACATTTTTACAATTTGTTTTTGAAAAAGAAAACAAAATCAATTTTTTTTCTGTTTTTTTTTATTAATTTTTTAATATATATTTATTATAGATTTAAATTAAATATGTAATTCATTATGCATTGATGAAATTTTTGGTTTTTGTTCTTGTTGTTTGCTAAATTAAATATTTAAATACTTTCTCAGATTTGTTATTATTTTGTTCGAAAGAAGAAAATTTCCAATAAAAAAAATGCATGCTTACATTTGCTTGCTTGCGCATTCATATTTTATCGCCTTCTCGATGAGGAACCATTAAATAAAAAAAACTAATCAATATAGGAACTCGGACAGCAATTAAAACAACACTATTTTCATGAAATATATAAAACTCGTTGTTGTAATATTGGAAATGTTTACGTACACAAAAAATAAAAACAAGAAGGAACGGCAAACATAAAAATATATTTTCTGTTAGAGAAAAGAACACATGACAAAATAGTGTTATTCCTGTTTTGTGTCGAGCATCCTTAATTACATACATTTATATAAATATTATTTTATTTTATAACATTTGACTTATTATCTGTTAATTTTTATATTATGTATATTAATTATAAATATTTCTTTTTCTTTGTGTGGGGGTTTTGGAGAGGAGTTTAAATTTAGTTTGTTTAAAAATGTTGTTTTTTGTGGTTACAAGAAGAGGAAATAAACAATTTTTCGAAATAAATACAAATAAAAATACACCGAAAATCATATTACAATTACATAGGAAAGAAAGAAAAAACATTTGCCAACATTTAGAGAGCTTAAAATATATTTCTTGGTCGAATATAAATTACAATTTAAGTTATGTTTGTGCTTTCTTTGTTTCCTTTTCTATTTAATTCAAAAGCTAATCAAAAGAAAATTTAAAATACTTTGTTTGCAGAGAGAGTGAAGAAGAAAAAAACTGTTAAATGCCATTCTACTATTTGTAAATATATGGGGAATATTGATTATATTAAATACATATACAAAGTAATACACATACATACACAGAAATAATCTTTTGTTTTATAATATTAGAATTATTATCGTGTTTAGAAATTCATGTCAAAAGTCTCATCTCAAATCTATGCTTTTTCATTTAAAATACGTATCTAAATGTACACAATTTTATTTGTTCTTTTCAGAAACAAGTATCAAAGACATAAAATGGTAAAGACTGGACTAAATGCAATACAGAAAAAATTTAAGGATTCAAAGACATAAAATGGTAAAGACTGGACAAAATGCATTACAGATTCGTTTTACGAATAACATTCTCTGTAGATCAAAAATTTGCTGTTAAAACTACCTAACATTTGTGAGGATGTTGTTATGATATCAGATGTAAATCCGCCTATAGTGAAATTTTCTAATTAATTTTTTGAGTTATCGACAAAAGTCGGCAAAATTAAAATGCATATAATTTCGGTAATAAACGAAATTTGTTGATAAGTTAGCGACGAAATCAGAGAAGTCTCTGAGACATACCGAAAGATACCAGTGTTGTGAACGTTATCGTCTTTTTTATATAAAATTTTTGAGTTTCAAAGCTACCGATTTTTGTTGGTAACTCAAAAAAGATTGACACCACTACTGGTGTCAATATTTTGACTGCGACTTATCCTATATTAAAACTTGTATGTCCCTACAAGAATCTCAAAATGTTTGAATAAGGTAAATCCACTTGGTATCAATATTTTGACTCTGTCTTGTCCTTTCTTTAAACTTCTGTGTCTCTGGAAGAATCTCAAAATTTTTGAATGTGTCGGTAAAATTAAAATGCATATAATTTCGGTAATTAACGAAATTTGTCGATAAGTTACCGACGAAATCAAGGAAGTCGCTAAGACCTCCACCGATAGATACTGTCAAGTTAATCTTCGTTTTTATATCGAATTTTTGGGTTTCAAAGCTTCCGATTTTTGTCGGTAAATCAGAAAATGTTGACGTCACTACTGGCGTCAATATTTTGACTCTTACTTGTCCTATCTTTATACTTCTATGTCTCTGCAAGAATCTCAAAATGTTCGAATGTGACATTCAAGTACGAAAATCACAATGCTGCCATTGGATATTGCTCCAAGAATTATTCGTCAAACATTAATACAGTGACGAACAAATGCCTTCGTAGTCCTTAAAGCAATCTATTAATAGAGAAGTTAATATTAATAATATGGGGCTTTCTCTAAGATGGTTGTTTAAAGGATTCACTATATGGGCCAGTAGTGGCCAACCAACGTTTTCCAGATATTAGGAAAGATGTAATATTTTTACCCTTTTTGCGGAATATTTTCCACATTCCATGGTCGAGGGAATATAATTGCGGTCAATTGCTTGAATATACGATCTCGATCGGTAAAACTCTTTTTTAAATTGTGTAATTTTAATATTTTATTTTATTTTTTTCTCTAGATTGTTATTCAACACCACCAAGACTTTTTGTGCAGCCACTTAAACAAATTGGAATATTATGTATTCTTCCACAATAATACCTAATCCTGAAATTCATTAGAGTTAGCAAGGAATTCTGCTATAGAAGGGCTTGGCATTTTCCTTGAAATCGTCCAAGTATTTCATTTCCTCTTGGAATTTACAAAACAGACTACAACTAAATTGTCAATTTTCGTGTTGAAAACAGAGACTCAATAAATTTGAACTGAATTGAATTTGTTAAAACAAACCCAAATTTTTATGTAAAATTAAAGGTTTGGGTTTTTTAGACACATTTGTTTGTTTGTTAAACAACTACAAATAAAAATATGGCAAGTAAATTAAACAAAATTGTGTATGTATTATTATATATGTATCATCTCACATTAAAAAATACAGATATATATAAATCTTAAAATATTATTGAGATTGTAAAATATAATATTAAAATAAAAAAAAACAAATAATTTATACAGCCTGTAGTTGTTGTTTTGTGTGTGTGTGCGTATGTTAAATAACTTAAAGTTGTTGCTCTTGTTTGTAGCATGTAGATTGTTTAATTTGTGCTTTAAATTGTAATTGTAAGAAATGTATGTATATATATATATATAAAAATTCCTTTATATTTTTCAATATTTATAAATAATAATAAAAAACCTTCTCATTTCTGGTTTGTGGCATACGTTTGACTAAGAATGTTTCTGTTTACGTCGTCGTTATGTTTTTGTATCCTAATTTTTTAAAAAATAAACAAACAAACTATGAAAGAAAAAGAATAACACACATACACATGTTATTATCCATTTATACATACACATGGACAACACAAAAAAATAACTATAATTACAGTATAGTGTATATAGATTGTTATACATACATACATATGTATATGTACGTTTAGAGCGAAATGAAAGGTAATAAATAAATAAGAATTGCAACTAACTTAAATTTAAATAAATTAAATAAAGATTTCACTTGCAATGAAAATGTTTAAAACATTTCAAATCACTCGATATCATGACTGAGTTTTCTACATTTTTAGAAATGCTTGTAAAAAAATACCACAAATCCAGGGATTTGAAATTCGTAGCATCATCACTGCAAGGCTGAGAGAAACAAAAATAAATTCAATTCTATGTTTTCTTTTTTTGGAGAAAGAGAGAATTACTTATATGGGACTTCTTTTGTTTAGTTCTGCTGTTGGTTTTTTTCTTTTGTTGTAGAGATTGATGATGAGAGATGCTGACTTCTTTTGCAAATTGTTACAAACATAGTAGCAGTATTATTTTATGAATTTTCTTACTATCTTTTTGTTTAATTTGTGTGTGATATTTGTTTGTTTTGTTTTTTCTTTCCTGTTCTTTACACAGATTTTTTTTCTGAAGATGGTGGGTTTTGTTTTTTTTTGTTATACATTTTTTTTGTCCATTCCATTTTTGTTGTAGTTTGGTTTTCTGATATTTTAGAACATGTTATTGTTTGTTGCTGGTTTTAGATTTCTTTTCATATTTTTCTCTTAATTTTCATCTTTCTGTTTTGTTTCTAAATAAATATTTTTTGTCGTTTCATTTTGTTGTTGTTGTAATGACTGATTTTTGTTTTGTTTTGGAGAGAAAAAATGTTTGTTTAATAAAGACCGCAACCTCTGAGATTATTGGCGATAATAACATCAGTGACAGCATCGAATACAAATTGGATGTTGTTTGTGTCTGTAGCACACGTCATGTGGCAGTAAATTTCTTTTGAGGTTGATTTGTTTTTCGCTTCAAATTGAGCCTGGATATATGCAGCTGCCTCGCCATATTCTTGACCACCTGGAAAGAAGTACGCAAAATAAAGAAAATACGAGTTAAGTTATTATTCATTTATTTGTCAAAACTGGAATTAATCAAGAATTCATCCAAGACGAAACCTTAGTACCTCTCCCATGAGGATTTCTTTAATGTAAGTTTCGGTTTAGATTTTTTCTACAAATGGCTAACCTTTAAGAGAAATAGTGACTCTTAGAGATATTTAATAGACTGAAGGCTTCTTACGAAGTTGTCTATAAATAACATAATCTAAGAGGTATATATGGAACACTTTACAAAACGTGGTAGGGGGATTTTCGTAGTTATAAGTTCTAATGAGTGGACTTGTTTAAAAGGGAGTCTCATAGACCAGTTTCCACAGCCAAAATGACTTTCTAGTTAATGGTATATCTGATAAATATTTCGAGAGAGCATCAAACTAGTTATGAAGTATCGGTCGGTTTTATCAACAGATGTATACCCTCAGCTCAGAAAATCTAAAATTTATATCCAATCTTATGCGAAATCATAAATTCCATATTCATCTCAGGTTTCTGGTTAAGAGAAATATTAAAATATAACAAATTGTAAAGAGCCACCGCCGACGTGTTACACAAGTTATGACAGGTTAAAATATTGAAAATTGTGACTCTTTGTGGGCGAGGTATTTGAAGGGGCTCGCCGGTATATATCATCTTCACAACAGCAAGCAAGAATATTTGAATATTTGAAAATTGAAGAGAGTTGTATGCTTATTTCCCTATCTTTTAACGTTTTATATTTTAAAATCTTGGACCCTAAGTGGGGGAGAGGTAATGGTCCGATCTCTACCATCTTTATAACAGATCTTGTGTTGATAGAAATATTGAGATTTTCCAAGTCTCAATGGAATTTGATGTGATGCGTTTATAAGCTTCATGGATATTCAAATCTTCACAGCATATCTTGTGTTAGTAAAAATAATGGCATGTGTGTAATTTGAAGGCAATCGGACTCCTGGATCACATTTTATAAGAGTTTTTATTATTCAAAAATTTGACTCATTGTGGGGGAGGTACTTGATGGAGTGGGCCGATATTGCACCTGATCTACAACTGAACCTAGATTGACGCATTGGAAGACAACATTGAAGCATTTATTCGTGAGATACCGGCCGAAATTTTGAGAGAGAGTATTCCAAAATTAGACTTAGCGGATGGACCATTTAAGGCGCAGTCCCGGTCAACATTTGCATGAAATAACCTTCAAACATTAAATTATATGAATATAAAAAAATGAATTAAACATTAATTTTTTTGAACCGATTTCATACATTTTTCTGAATTTTATGTTCTTTAAAAAAAAACTTTTACCCTTTATAAGTAACATTTCCTTGTAAATATCTTCTACTGATAGAAAACTATGAGAATTCCTCCAATGGTTTTTCATAGATAGAAATTTGCATGCGTAAGGTTTTCGATAAGACATTTTGGACTATTTACTGCTATAAATGACCGGCCGTTTTAGAGCTATTCTGAAGATAAAAGCTTTCTTTGGTTTGTACTTTCTTGTTAAATTGTAAAAATTTTCTTCAGATATTTCGGAACATTAAGAATGACATTCTGTTTTAAATAATCCCAATAATTTTGGTCATCCCAAGGTAGAGTGCAATTTGTATACCCTAACCTATTCCTGCCGATATTATAGTTAAATGTAAGGTACTCAGTTTTCCAACATACCTGTATATTCGGGGAAACAGATTGTCAGTGGACTCTTTCGGATTTTCTCTTCGAATAAATCCTTCTTGTTCAAGAACAAAATGATCGAAGTATCCGTAAACCATTTATTATTGCAAATGGAGTCAAATAGTTTTAATGATTCTTGCATTCGGTTCTAAAATAGAAAAAGAGTAAAACAAAATTAGTTGAAATAACATAAAAAAATCTAAAGATAATTCAAAACTTACTGTAGTTTCATCTTCATGCAAAACTTGATCATATTCAGACATGGCAACGCAAAATATAATCGCAGTGACATCTTCAAAGCAATGGATCCATTTCTTTCGTTCCGAACGTTGGCCACCAACATCGAACAATCTGTAAGAAAAAAACACAAAAGAAAATAATGAAATTTGAGCTTAGGATTTTTAATATTATATAAAATTTATAATATATATTTTATTATTTATTTTCTATCCAAAATGTGATTAAATTCTTTGATAAAACTGATATTTAGTTTTAATTAAACCACCTATTAATCCAAGGAATGTTTAATGAACTCCTTAAAGTATGCTACAAAAAGTGAACGGGAAAAACATAATCTTAGCTCCATTTCACACACAGATTGTTTGCCGTAAAGAAAAGCAAGTTTTTAATGGTGACCCCATTGAAACTTAGACCTGAAGATGTTGAAAAATTTTTACGAAATATTGGAGACTGACCAATATTGGAGACTAGTAAACATTGAAGACTGGTAATCATTTTTTCATCCGATATGATGTAAAATTTTTTTATATTTCATTTTTTACAACATCTAACTTTTACAATTAAGCAGTAAAGGAAGTCTTAAAGTCGGGCGGGACCGACTTTATGATACCTTACACCACTTCGCATATATAGTAGAGCTTTTCATAAAAAATTAACATTTTTATGGGGATTTTGTGAGAATTAAATCATATCAACTATGATTATAGTTATAATTTAAAGTCCAAAGGACTGAATATGTCGAGGCATTCATGTCTTTTCAATTCGTGCTTGTATTATCCATTTGATGCACATTTAACGTGAAATCAGATAAAGATTTATATGGGAGCTATATCCAAATGTGAACCGATCTCGATAAAACTTGACAAAGGTATTTCTGAGCTGTATATATAATTCCCCAAATATCGTTGTTCCCCAAATATCGTTGTCGGAAGACAAAAATAACAAATCGGATGAACAATATATATGGGAGTTATAGTTATACCTGGACCGATTTCGATCGAATTTGGCATACTTATTTGCAGACCTAATTTGGCCGTATGTGCAAAATTCCATACTATTTGGGTTGATATTACACGTTTGGTGCACAATAAAATGCAAATCTGAAGAAGATATATATGGGAGCTATATCTAAATTTTGACCGATTATCTCCAATTTCAATAGAGTTCGTCCTTGGATTGAACAAATATGATAATTTCATCTGGATCGTGCAATAAATGCGTCATCAGAATGTGATCATCAAAATGAACTTTGGGTCTAACTCCTTTCCTTTTGCCTGTTACAAACAAATACATAACACCCTGATCACCTTGTGGTGTAAGGTATAAAAATGATAACTTCCTCATTCGAAATGTACGCATAACTCGTGTTCTGTGGAAAAAATATAATATGAGTAAGGGAATCCCACAACTAAAAATATTTTTTAGTTTATGTCAATAAATATGTAAAAACTGAAAAATTGTTCCATTCAATATTGCGAAAACATTCGACGGCTTTATTTTTTAATGTTACCAAAATATATGTCACTTGCCTTGCGTCATCATTTTAAGAGTAGATGAGTTCCAAATATAAAAAGGGTTGCCATTAACGATTTGGTAAATGAGATTACCTCTTTAATTTTGCCATGACTATAAAACCATTGACAAACCAAATTCTATTCTATTTTAAAATTCTAATACAAAAACATTCGATTTACTTACTTGAAGTTAAGATTTTTAAATGAAAAGTGCACTTCAACAATACCAGTTGTTTTGACACGAGTGCGCAATATATCCTGTTCGGTAGGTTGATAATCTTTGGCGCCTAACCGATCCAAATCGTCCAGGAAACTAAAATGAGAAAGAGAGAGAAAGAAAAATTGTTATTAATAAAAAAAGTAAACAACAAACAATTGTTAGGCTAAATAGTTTGACCTAAATATAGCAAAAAATGATGGCATTAGATGATATTGCATGCAAATATGATGTAATAATAATCATCATCATATCCATTTCAATGTGTCCCACACCAAGCAAATTTCGTAGACCTGGGTTAGCTGTACTGTACGTGTGTTTATACGCCTGATTAGCACTCAAGTGTAAAGAGGTTTATCGAATGGATTTGTGTCTAGTTTATGCTTGTTGTTGTTGTTATTGTTTGTCTTATCCACTTACAAATCTTTATACCATCACATAAAGCCGAAATTATTTCATTTTTCATTTATTACTTTTGTAGTTGTTGGCTTTTTTTCTACCAACAACATATCTATTGCCTTGGGTTGTAATTAACAATTTGTCGATTGCAGCAGCATCAAAAGTTGTAATTTCAATTTGATTTATTCGTGCTCGCATCTAGGTTCAAAAACTTTGTTGGTATGTAGGTATTTGGAATTAGCGGTCAAGAGATTTACAAAAGACATTTAGAAATGAAAGTCATGATGGTAGTAGTATTTAAAAAAGTAAATAGGGAAGGGTTACTCTGAACATATCCAAAATTAATAATAATAAATACAGATTCTACCCCATTTTCATTGAGGTCAAAGCTCTGGTACATAACCAAATAAACTCAATTTTGTATTGAAATCCAAACAGTTTTTCAAATCTCATGCATTGTTTATTCCTAAGTCATCACGTCCCTTAAATATTATCTTAGATTCGATTCAATCAAAATGTACATAAATGTCACCGCCATTTATGTGTTGAGAAATCAAATGAGATCATTGAAGTTATGCTGTTATAAATGAGCCTCAAGAAACCTTTAGTAGGAAACAACATTGCATAAAAGTGGGTAATCTTATACGAAAATCAATGAATAAACGATTAAAACAATAAAAATAACACTGCCTCCTCTATTCGAAAAGTAGTAATAGCGTGTAATTAACGGGACTTAATGTAGTCCCATTAATTAGGCCTTAATACGAATTGTGTGGCACAATAGTTAACGAAACAAGAAAATAGAATTTTAGTAGATGCATAATTTTGAGTGGGGTCCAATGTAGCCAAATATACCTACATAAAATACTCCGTTCGGGACAAAAATTTACTTTGGATTTTCAATACGGAACGACGTGTCGGTATAATGTATTCTATAGCTGATCAAGGAATATAAATATACAATTTACCATTGGTCTATAAAGAAAACTCGTGCCAAATGCCTTCATATATCCCAAAATTCAGGATATGTGTGTGAATTTGAATTACTGAGTCACTGAGAGTGTACAAATTTCTAATGAGAACATTTACTCAGTATGGTATGGTACACATTAGCAAACATATATCTAAAATTCGACAAAAGATTTGATTGATATTAATCTGAGGTTGGATTTCAAGTTTTCTTGGGAAAACTTCTTCTAATTAATCGTGGCTTAACAATCATTATAGATATGTTCGCTTAAATTGCTCCAAACAAATTGATAACAACATAATGTAAATATTTTTTTATAAGACGATAGATCAAAAACAGTTGTTGTATAACCCCCCCCCCCCCCCAAAAAAAAAAAAAAAAAAAACTTCCACATCCCTTTCATTTCTCACAAAAAAATCTCTCATTGTCCCACTTTCTGGTAAAAGTTGTTCTTTTAGAGCGAATTTATTCTTTCCCTCTTTTACTAGGTTTACTATTAAAAAATAAGAACAACAAATTATTATTGCATCACTTAAATCACATAAATTCCATCTGGCTCATCTTCTTATATCAACAACATTGTGACATGCACAGTAAAATGATAACATTAGAAGTGTTCGCCGCCCGCACTAAAAAAAATATAACTTCCACATTCCTTTCATTTCCCACAACATATCTCTCATCGTCCCTCTCTCTCATTTTTCATAACAATACTCTCTGCCACCATGCATATCTCATTATAATGATTTTGTATTATTTTGCAGTCAAACATAACAATAACAATTAAGTTCTTTACTCTAAATCATATATTTCCGGTTGTAGGGTTTTTATAAGCCTTTGACTCGATGTATCGGAGGAAACAGTGCACTAAGAAGTGTACATACTAGATCAACAAAACGTTTAAATAAATTTGTTTTGACAATGTGGCCATTTACTATGACAGTAATTGATATTTGACTTTGCCTTGTCACTTGCCAATTAAGTTGGTCGCATTGTTGTCTTCTCTCGTCTCTCTCTCTCTATCTAGTGTTTATTCGGATAAAGATGACAAATGGGACGCTTTGATGGGGATTTAGATGGCTTAAGAAGAATTAGCTTATTTGTGAGGCATTTCAATTAGAAATGTCACGATAAAGAGCCAAGTGAGGGAAATTTAAACAATATCAAAATAAAAGTAATAGAATATAAATAGAATCATTACAATCAAAAGAAATGAAATGAAGATTTGAAGCCAGTAAAATATTTTTAATTGGTTTAAAATTATGCTATGTTTATATTGAAATTCTCGTTCAAAATTATACTATTGTGGCATATAAGACTGTAGGGTCTGTGTTTCTAGCTGGAGTCGGAGAGTAAGTCGTGTGCCAATCATATCTGTTATTAGAGTAAAGTCATTTTTCGTCTTTTAATGTAGTCAAAGAATTCGGCTCTGGTACAAGAAATTAATGGGAAATGGCCTGATAGTAAGGTAACTTAGCCTGTAGGAAAATATTCGTCAAATATTTTTTACTATATCAATTAAATGTAGCCTAAGATAATTATTGCAATTTCACATAAAAAAAATTTTCACATTTTCAAATTTATATATTGCAAAATGTTCATTATTTAAAGATTTCTTAACAATTTGAGACAAATGAAATATTTCCCCCCTGCATTTACAACACATTTTTAACTGACAAATATTAGGAAATTTTGATTTCAGTTTAAAAATTTTCATTGTTTTGAAAGAGGAAAAATTGCCCAAACACAATTTGACGTTGGCTCATGTTAACAAAGAAATCATGAGTTACCAATATTTTATGGTGGCGACTTGGAAGCAAAAAAAAGTTTGTGTGGGGGGAAGAGGCGAAGTGTTTTACCATCTAACCAACCAACCACCAGTAATGCTTGGTTGAATCCATCGTAGTCCATCATAATAATAAAAAAAACTAAATTGAATTGTTTTGATGCCGTTGATCTACTGTGGGTTGACCAATTCAATTTCAAAATTTCTTTCTATTGCACAAATGAGATTTTACAAAAACAAAAATACGTTTTTAGGCCCACCAAAAAACAAAAAATTTCGCACTTTTTCGATTATTTACAATTTGTTAATATTTTTTTATATTTGTCTTGCTAATAAATAGTAATTATGTTCACAACTTTATTATACTTTAGTTGCTTTATTTTAAAAATTTGTAAAAATGACCTGTCATGTTTGAAAAATATATTTTATCAATATTGCCAGAGGCTATAACATGTTTTGTAATTTGTATGAGATTGTACGCAACATTTTGATAGAATTAATCGTGACTGCGGTGGTGGGTATCCCAAGGTCGACTAAATGACCTATTATGCAATTTTTCTTCGACTTTCTTTCCGTATTTATTTTATTTTTGATTATTTCCGAATATGATGTACAGTGCATTTATTCTTTACATTTTCGTCTAAATCAATTATTTTCTTCCTGTTTATTCCTTACTTTTTCGAAGTAGAAGACTTATTTGGCCTCAAAGGTCTAAATCATTTAACATCTATCTGTGGCGTCTTCTTCTTGCTGCAATAAGACAGTGGTATGTACTGTGAAATGATACCATCAAAATTAATAACTGTTGGCATTTATCTCACATCAAAATATAACTCTTTCCCGCCATGAGAACGTCATTCTTGGAGACATCTTAAGCATCAACTGAGTTATTTTTATAAACTAGCAATTATATTAGTCGAAAAATCGCGAACCTAGAAACTATTTTTAAAGTAATGGACCTATGAGAATTTCGTTATATTTTGTACAAATATATTTAAAACTAAACATTTTCTTAAAACCTTATGGTACATTTTGTTGCTTAAATTAATATGAAACAACATATTAAGGCACGAATGACTACATTTTGTGCTATGATTGATACCCACTCCAAAAGTCCATTATTTACTAAACATATTTTGAAAAGAAAAAAAAATTGGAATATTATGAATAGAATAGACAAATATTTGATACTCAAGACCTACATAAGCGCTAAGTACTCCTACCCCACAAACATACATATTTCGAATTTTATATAAGATCATCGCTCTCCCATCATTGTTTTACAGACAGTTTAGTGTAGAATGCACAATTTCAACTACATTTATTTCCTAACTGAAAACTAACGCGCACACATACACACACAACAATTTCCCAAACATGAATATGAAATTATAACAATTTTCCGTTCGCAAGATAATAATACATAATGGATGTTGTTCGAATAACAATAGTTTCCTCAAACAGAGTTGCCATAACATAATTGTCATAACTGGTAAATCATGACAAGATGTATTCATTATACTCTCTCTCTTTCTTTCTCTTTGGCATGGTTATGATTTGTTCAGAGATGGGTTGCTTGAAATGGCAAACAATTGTTAAAAGAGGTAAGATTTAAGTGAGTCTATTGAGGATATTGTACATAAAAGTGGACAGATAAATATTATTTATAACATGTTGAAATATTTCAGATCTTATAGAAAAAATATTAAATATAATTAAAAAATAAAATAATTGATAACACTGAGTAGAGACTAATGACACCAATTTCTATTCATTGGAATCCAAACTATCAAATTACAGTCAATTCGACTAAAGTTTTACGGTAAACAAGTAAAAAAATTAAGTTCGGCCAGGCCGAAAATTTAATACCTTCCACCTTTGGGTAAAGAAAACATATTTGAATTCAAACGTGTTCCACTTTAAACTACAAATACCAGTAAGACCGTTTGGATAATGCAGTTAAAGTTTCCAAAAAACCATAAAGAGTGTGAAGCTGTACCAAAGTGGGGACCTCTATAAAAATGTTATACTTCAATAATTTCCTACCCAATATTCTTGGAACAATTTCGTAGGGTATATGTGACCAGGATTATCAAAATACCGAAATTCCGTGGGTATCGTTATATGTGCGCTATAGGAAAACGTTTACCTAAATATTCAATGTTCCGCCACCGGAACTAAAACCTATTATGACCTACAAATACCAATTGATACAATTATCGAAATACCGAATATCGGGAGGTACCATTATATGGGGGATATACAAAAACGTGGACCTATATATACAATGTTTCGCCACCCTAGCTAGAATCCATTGCGAACTATAAATACTAATTTTTCGAAAAAAACTTGGAAAAATCACCAAAATACCGAATATCGGGAGGTACCTTTATGTGGGGGCTATACCAAAACGTGGACCGGTACATCTGATTTTCAATACCAACCATCATAGACACAATACAAATTGTTCTACGTTAAATAAAGTGGCCTGTATCAGACAAAAGGATGTCGCTAAAATGACTTAGAATTTTATGCTGATCATGTATATATATACTTTATGGGGTCTGCGACGAATATTCAGGGATGATACAAACGGAATGACAAAGTTAGTATACCCTCCTTTTCCAGATGGAGGGTATACAAATAATAAAATAAAACAATTTCCGTTGGCTCACTTCAAAATAGCCATATTTCTCTTAATTCGGTCGAAAATGTAAGCTAAAAAATCGAAATTCCGGATATCAAAATCGAAATTAAAGTGGAACACGTTTGATGTAAATAAACACAAACAATTAATGTAAACAAAAACACGGTCATACAAAACAATTTTTTTTAATTTTAATATCTAATCAATTATTTCTAATCAAAAAAGTCTTTTAAACTACTTCTGTTGTCGAAGATAATGCACGTTTCTTCTTCTTATTTTATATATGTAAACACAAGATCCATCCCCGCAAATATCTCCATTGACATCATAAATGGAGAGAAAGAGAGAGAGTAGTTGCATGAATTGATCACAAGAGCTTGACAAATTGTGACATGCTTCGCTGGAGAAATGTCAGGTTGAATATGAGAGAGAGATTGGCGCTTTTTCCCTTGTGTTCATATGTGTTTGTGTGTAGGTTTGTCTTTAACCAAATCTAAGCTTAACTTAGAGTTATTTTTTTTATTTGGTGGTAACCAATACAAGTAAACAATTAACAAAATGTTGTTAATTCACACATTTAGACACTCACACACATTGAGCCAACTCAAAACTATGAAGTATAAGTTAAGACGGCCATTGAGACGAGAGTTTAGTTTAAAGTATATCCGTTAACGGCGAACAACAAACGTTGAAATATAAGTGGCTTAATTTTGGAAATAACGGCTTAAACGGGCGCGTAAAATATCTCTCCTAAGGATTTCAGCAGAATTCAGTGGATTTTGTGTTTAATTATGTGAACATATGTAAGTGTGTGTGGTAAAAAAAAACGAAACTAGAGCATTCAGTCTGTCAAATAGCAAACAAAGAAAATCCATTGCATTAAAAAAAAAGAAAACTTGGCAAATTTAATTTCATTTTTTAAACAAAGTTTCGGAAAAGTAGAATGCAAAAAAGGAACGCAATCGGAAAAGTTATGATAAATCCATGTGGAAACTTTTGAGCAAATAAAAATTCAAAGCACTTCAGACAGAAAAAAAAATAAAAAAAGGAAAAAGAAGAGTACATTTTGTGTGAATATTTTATGATTTGTGCAGTCAGTCAGTCATACATTCATCAGCCAGCCGCCAGACATCAAATGCCGCCTTCTTGTGGAAATAAGTGTAAATCAACATCATCACCACACATCTACACCGGTATCTGTGGCAAGGCTAGGCAATCCAGTGAAAAGTGGAAAATTTGTTTTAATTCATTTGAAAAAGCAAATTAGTAGTGTTGTGCCGCTCCGCTCCACCGAAAGCCATAACTTTCTTTGGAAAACACAATTTCAAATACCTACAGTTTGTAAATGCAAATGTAGTTTTATGCCAGTTTGGCGTGCTTGTTATTCAAAACAAAAGTAAATCCAATCCCATAAAAAAATAAATAAATATAATTAAATTGAGGAAAATAAATCCAACAACATCATAAAAAATAATTAAAGTCAATTTCTTTTCCACCAAACCAGAGAAAAAAACACATCATCATCTGGAATAAATTTCACCCAATCTCGACATCTTAAGAAAAATAGGAGTGTTACAGCCGCAGATAGACAAACTTCAACAGCACACGTGCGATTTTTGAAAAGTCGACACCAAAGGAATTGTAAGTTTTTCCATTAAGTTTTGCAAAATGCCAATGCGAGATGTTTGTTTGCTCACAACAAACAAAAAAGATTTTGCAAAACTTTGCATAAATGTCAGTGCATTTTGAATAAATGTTTGTAAATCTAGCATAAATGGCAGTATAAACAAGCATGTGATTTATTTGGAGAATTAAGTAAGTTTGGAAAAAATAGGAAAACAAAGAGAAAAAGGCGTAACTTTCGATTAATTCCTCAGCCAAAAAGCCTTAAAGTATTGGAAAAATGTCGCAAATTGTTGTTTACCAAAAAGTCGAATTGTTACACAGTACAAAAATATTTGTCTTCGAAACATTTCAAATATTTTCTATAATGATTAAATATTAAATTAAATTGATTAAATATTTTTCTCAACTCAAGTTTCTTGTAGAGGGGTCTGTATTGGAACATTTGGGCGCCAACTTCGCTTTAATAAAATGTGGTCGTTTTTTTCTCTAATTTAGGAGAAGACAAGTAAAAATGCGCTGAAAAATGTAAATATTTCATTTTGGGCCAAATTCCCAAAATTTTTGCATAGCGCTGCACCCTACAACACATGTTCCAATTCTAATAAATAATAATACATTTTAGGTCTGACTGGTAACTTTTCCTGCAGAAATTGTCCAGCTACTTCATTCTGAGAGAGTGTAAGGTAGTTCTACTCTCTTTCGCAAGACAACTGTTAAAAGTAAACAGATGGCTTTCCTCGCCAAAAATTGCAAATAATCAGCTGAGTTGTGAAAGGAAAACAATTTGTCTGCCATAAAAATAACCGAACTCGGAAAAAATTTAGTATTTTATTAAAAATAATGAAGAAAATGGGTAAAAAATGTCCGATTTTTCAACTTTGTTCTCCAAAAAAAAAACATCACTGGATACTCTAAAAGTAAGAGGAAGAATAGTTGCAAGCATAGATGGACAAAAAAAGGAGATATTCTTAAGAGAATTTTGAAATAACCTTCCTGCATTGAATCATTATTAATTTCATATTTTTTGAGCAAAACTATAATCAAAATAAGGTAAAAATTACTGTAACGCTACTGTGCATACTTTCCCATCCATGGTTGCAAGTGATTGCAAGACAAAATGTGACTGCAACTTTTTTTAGAATTGGTTCGAGGTTTTAAAATTTGCGAAGAGTTTTTGCGTTATTAAAACAATATATCTTTAACTTGTCTCTAAATCAAAGGAAGTTTACTATAGTTAGTGTCAATAAAGATCGTTAGTGTGTACCGCACTTTAGCCATCAGTTATACCAAATCAAGTCATCTTCTCTTTTAGTCTATGGCAAAGTTCTCTCATCCCTCTCTTGATGAACAAAAACTAGTTAAGAGGCCCTGGCTTTCCATATATTAATTTCATTGCAATTTCTAACTTATTTTCGACTTTCAATAACGTTTTTATAAATAATACCAATGAAATTGCTTCTTTTATATGTTTTTTTTTATCATACTTGTGAGAAAATTACAGTTTTTTTCTCTCTGCTTTGTGTCTATACAACTTTCCGAAAACACTTTCGTGAATTCTCTCATTCAGTTCTCTGTTCTCTATGAATGAAGTCTCCATTATTGTTATATTTGTTATATTTGTTTGTTTTGTCATTGTTGAAGGTTTAATCAGTTGATTGCTTATGTCTGGAGTAACCCCCCTTTAGAATACCTTCTAATTGTATTCTTGATACATTAAAAACACAATTGAAAAATATTACAATGTAACTCTCAGAGAGAATCTTCTACATGCTGTAAGAGAAAATAACAGGTGTTTCGATTGATCTATTATCGATGGCAGAATCGATAGAATTGTACAAAGTAAAGTGCGGTACACATTATGAAACATGAATTAATACCATTGAACTTTAATTACATTACTTTTTTTGTTATTTTTAAGGAATCGCTTTGTTCAAATGAAATTAATTCATAAATAATAGAAACAATTTTAGATGTACGAAATCAATAACTTGATAATATCCCATGTTAATGGGAGGAAAATAATAAGAAATTAAACTTTAATTAATTGTAATTGACGAAATCCAGAAATATTTTAATGCCCAAAAGACTGATATTTTTTTTAATATTTCCTAAGTTTTTTCCTTTTTTTCTTTCCATAAATTTTAAAGCACCTATATTTTGCATTACAAAAACTCCCTTTATTTATACGTTATCAGAGATTTGACCATTATTCCTCTATGTGTTTATCACTTGACCTTCGTCTGCAACGAACATTATAACGTTCTTTAATTAAACATAAACTTTTATTTTTTTACCAAACATTATCGCTATGACATTTTTGTATGAACGCGAACCCATGTTTTGTTTTTGTGGCACGAAAAAATTATGGCTAATTATGCCGCTCACTTGTGGCTAATTAACACTTTATGGTTACGGATTTATGTCCGTAGTTTTGTTAATGTCACACCTAAGCTAGGAGCTACTACGATTTTTTTCCAAGAATTTGCACATTATTACTCCACATACAAAGCGCTTAAGCTTTAGGTAAACTAAAAGCGTAAACAAAATGAGCTAACTTTTTAATGACTTCTAGTTTTTTATTTGCAAAAATACTTAAAAAAAAGTTTTGTGACTTTTTCCGTAATATAATTAAAAGGAATTAATATTTGCAACTTTTTTGTTGTTTCTTTTTTCTTCTTCAAAACATGTTCAAGTGTTAACTATATTTGTTTTTAATTAACTATTAAATTAAGCTAAATATGTTTAAAGCTGATAAAATGCATCCGCGTTTGATTTTATCGAACAAGAGTTAATGAATAAATAAAACCTATTGGAACAGAGCTAGGGGGCACCAGCAAGTTCGATCGTGGATACCACACTTCAGCCATACTCGCATCAACACAGCTGTTGGGATAAAGAACTGTCAAATCAATTTTAAAATTGACAATTTAGATTGAAAGATTATTCAAATTAGTAAAAATTATTGAAAAATGCCTATAAAAATCTACTTATTTTTGAAAAAAAAAAACATTTTTAACATTTTGACATATCAATGTCCCTTGTATTCTTCTACCATGGTAGTACGTTTCTAGTTTCCCATTTTTTGAAGAATATCTGCAATATAGCTGGTACTTTATTTTAACTGTCATCGACATTGTCTACCATGTAAAAATAACACTCATGCAAATCCATCTTTCATTTTGCTCCAAACAAATCTAATCTCCCTCCAAAAAAAAAAAATCTCCCTCAAAAAAAAAAAAAAAACTCTGTCTCAATTAAAAAGTTTCTTTGGCTTTACATGCCAGCACTTCCGTTCCGCTAGACAGCTATGGGTTTTGTCGAAAAAAAATTAACAGTTTAACTCAAATTTAATTACATTCATCACCAAAGCAACAAATTCAATTTTTTTTCTACTTCGCAAACAAACACACGCACACACAGAGATAGAGACACAACAAAACTACAAACATAAATTTGCGCAGTTATTTTGGGTTTTGTTGTTATTGTTGTGGGTTGTCACTTCAAGGTTTTCTGTACAGTGGTTATATAATTAAATTCAAGGACTCTTGTAATTCGCCATGGTTGTTAGTTTACTATTATTTTTGTACTTTAATGGAACGGATTTGAAATTAATTTTTTTCACAACTAAATATCCGTGTCACTTTTGGTTAAAGGGAAATTTAATCAGAAATAACTCAAAATAGGTAAATGGTATTCGAGGAGTCTCCTAAATGGCAGTCTCGTAAAGAAATCAGATTATCTTTGCACATTTTATGCCCTAAACTATTTTCAAATTATTATATAATTATTAAATATTAACTAGATTTTTCAAAAAAATTGATATTTATTCTTAAACAAATTGAGACAAAACAAAGCTGAACACGTCAACTTAATAAAAAATCACAAATTTTGAAATAGAAAAATTAAATAAAAACAGTTCACTTTTCTTTCAGGAATTGCCCAGGAGCTTCTTTCTGAGAGAGAGAGAGTATTATTATTCTCTTTTGCAAGAAAACTGTAAAAAGTAAGCAAAGGAAATCCCTGCATAAACTTGCAAACAATCAGCTGATTTGTTCAAAAAAAGAAGGAATGAAGCAAAAATTAAAAATTACCCTTAAATAGGCTTCCGATTTCCAAAATAAAGACATTTTAAAATATCTTGCTCAATATATGAATAAGAAGAAGAACTACAAGTGATTGCAAGTAGCAACTTGTCCCAGTAAGAATTTGCAAACTCTCAGTAAAAGAACTGTACAAATTTCTCTCTCGAATTGTTCTCTTTTGCAGACCTTTTGCGTTAATAGACGACTTTCAATAATAATTTGCCACAATTGTTAAAAATGTTTGGGTAACCAGACAGATCTGTTTTTCCCATAGAATCCCAACAGTACTCCCACTTTTTTCCATTTTTTGGTAAATACCGTTATTTTGCCAATAAATATTTTTTTGGGAATAAGATCTGAGACTGTAATTCCTCCTTCAACTATGATTTTTTTTTAACAATTTCTGTGTTCTCTTCAACCCATGATATTAAAAGTACCTAGTAATTGAGCAAAGTAAATAAAGTCTCCAAAGCAGCAGGTAAACTGCAAATTTAGGAATACGTAGATCGACTTTTGATAAAATGGCTTTAGCTATTAAAAGGTCTTAAGTAGAGTACACACTGTTATATTTACATGACAGAATTGTGAAAAATATCACAACTTGCCAGTGAAACCGTACATTTTTCCAGAGTTAAGGTGGAGATACATAAAGCGCTTATTTGGCTGGCTTAAATCATCAACTGGCTTCTTCGGAAATGAACAAAGGAGCCTAGGGCCAAAATCGAACTAAGTCAACCAAAAACTCCTTTGTTCCTCAACGAAGAAGCCAGCCGATGACTTAAGGCAGCCAAATAAGCGGTTTTTGTATTCCCACCTTTATCAGGAAACCACAAAAATATTTTCATGGTTTTTCGAGACTCAGTTGTGTCATGTTCGTTGGTTTGTTAAGTGTGAACCAAACAGTGTGACTCCCTGGCCTCCAGCTCGTCTATAAAGACTCCCCGGTCTCCAGCTCGTCTATATAGAATCACTGACATCCAGCTCTTCTATATAGAATCCCTGGCATTCAGGTCGTCTATATATAGACGCCCAGGCCTCTCAGCTCGTCTATATGGAGTCCCTGGCCTCCCAGCTCGTCTATTTGGACTTTCTGGCCACCAGCTCGTCTATAAAGACTCCCTGGCCATCAGCTCTTCTATATAGACTCCCTGGCCTCCAGCTCGTCTATATAGACTCCCAGGCCTCCAGCTCGTCTATATAGACTCCCAGGCCTCCAGCTCGTCTATATAGACTCCCAGGCCTCTAGCTCGTCTATATAGACTCCCTGGCCTCCAGCTCGTCTATATGGACTCCCTGGCCTCCAGCTCGTCTATATAGACTCTCTGGTCATCCAGCTCTTCTATTTAGACTCTCTGGTCATCCAGCTCTTCTATAAAGACTCCCTGGCCTTTAGCTCGTCTATATAGACTCCCTGGCCTTTAGCTTGTCTATATAGACTCCCTGGCCTTTAGCTCGTCTATGTAGACTCCCTGGACTTCAGCTCGTCTATATGGGCTCACTGGCCTCCAGCTCGTCTGTATAGACTCTCTGGTCATCCAGCTCTTCTATATAGACTCTCTGGTCATCCAGCTCTTCTATATAGACTCCCAGGCCTCCAGCTCGTCTATATAGACTCCCTGGCCTCCAGCACGTCTTTATAGACTCCCAGGCCTCCAGCTCGTCTATATAGACTCCTAGGCCCCAAGCTCGTCTATATAGACTCTTCTATATAGACTCCCTGGCCTTCAGCTCGTCTATAGAGACTCCCTGGCCTTCAGCTCGTCTATAGAGACTCCCTGGCCTTCAGCTCGTCTATAGAGGCTCCCTGGCCTTCAGCTCGTCTATAGAGACTCCCTGGCCTTCAGCTCGTCTATAGAGACTCCCTGGCCTTCAGCTCGTCTATATAGACTCTCTGGCCTCCAACTCGTCTATATAGACTCTCTGGCCTCCAACTCGTCTATATGGACTCTTTGACCTCCAGCTGGACTCTCTGGATTCCAGCCCGTCGATACTTGATTTAAAATTACATTCAAAGGTGATAGTGTATACTCTACCTAAAATTGGACTTTCGCCCGTTAAGTTTTTAAATTTTATAAAAATTGTTTTTCGATACGGAGTTGGCACTAAGTGATAATAGACTTTTGAATTCTTCGGCTGCAAAATATCATAAACTTGAAAAAAAAAATGAGTCAAATTATCATAAATTTCAACTAATGTTCCCATATAGGTACTTCTAATATTGCGAACATTGTGAGGGGTAGGGTAATGTAAAGTAAAGTAATATGGATACTACGAACATCCCAACAAACCGGACTAATCGATATTTGATTTAAAATTATCGTCAAAAATGATAGTGTGTACCCTACTTCACATTTGACTTTCAACTGTTTTAATTCTTAAGTTTTATAAAAACAGCTTTTTGAGGTGAAGTAGGACCAAAAGGATTACCGAGTTTAGAATTTCAAAAAGGCAAAATATCAAATGGAAAAAATATTTCGGATTCTTAGAATTCAAATTTCAACTAATGTTCCCACACACGTACTTTTAATATTTCGCACCTTGTGATGCTTCCTTTTATTACTGTTTTGTAATACCTTGTAAATATATTTACTACTACAGCTGTGATTATAAATAATTTAACATTTAATGCTTTTTCGTGGATACATCCCCATCCACTTCGTTTCCACTATCCCCACAGACTTACTTTATGTTTTATTGCCACCCAAACGTGTTAGGGGATCATCATAAAATATGAATGACACCGACAGCGAGAGAGAGAGAGATAATAAATGACAAAATGCAACATCATAGCTTATTCCGCACAATGTAATTCATCATAAAATACGGCTTGTACATCTTCTTCGTTCAATATTTTATGGATAACAAGAAAACTTTTTGTTTTTGTTTCTTTCCCACAGTCATTTGAAATTCGCTCATAAAACTGAAACTGAAAACCAAACGCACGAAAGAACAACCCACAGCTTTGTTTTTGTGAATTCATCAGCAGCAGCCAGCCACTTATCTTGATTGGAATCTTGAATAACTTAGAAAGTTTGTAGAGAAGCAACAGCAGCCGCAGCAGCAACAACAACGTTACGAAAATGTCAAATTTACGCACCACAGCAACGTCACTGGTCAAACGCACCTCTTTTTCGGCAGCCGTTATAACACCGCCACTGGAACCCCCGCACCAACCACAAAGTCAATTTCCGGCAACGCATCATCCTCCACAAAGCACTGGCAAGAAATTGGAGAAATCTCATGAAATCAAGTGAGTAGTAGTTATTATTTGAGAGGGAGAGAGAGAATTGGAGAGAAATTGCAAAACAGCACGAGAACATCAATTGTTTTTCGATTGTAATGTCAAACGTTGTTGTTGGTGTTCCATAAAAATAATTGCCCTTGCCACCACCACTATCTGACTAATTAAAATTACCTTCTCTTCTTTCTCCCTTCTATTTATTAGCAGCAATCACAGCAGCGAGACAATCAAAAATGCAAATGTCCGTTCCTATGATGAAGTACCTGGACCCTGGGGTCTGCCATTCATTGGCAATTCTTGGCGTTTTGCCCCGCTCATAGGTAAGTAGGTGGGTTGAATTATGACGCAAAGATCTAGGTAATTTTGTGCTGAGGTTGAAGGAAGAGGAGGAGGGGAAGTGTAGCGAAAACTATTACACAATAACGCATAATTAAAACAACAACAACAACAGCAGTAACAGCAAGTAGCAAGCATGCTATAAAGCCCAATACCACGCCGGAACACAAGCCATCATGACACGCAATGTGCCACAAAATTGCGGTCTTTGTGGCGATCGTGATGGTGGTATTTCCAATAAAACACATTTTTGTTGGCCTTATGGAAAAAATGTTTTTTTTTTTTTTTTTAATAGAAATTCAATTAAATTTATAAAATAAAAAATATTTCAATCCGGCAAAATTTATTTTCCAAAAAAAATCGTTACTGAAGTTTTTTTTTCAAAACTCATTAAGGAAATGGACCCTGTTTCATATGGGGACTTCCCCTATGGGTTTAAAAAAATCTTCAGGCTCAGTTTATTTAAAAAGCTCGTCTTTATAGACTCTCTGGCCTTCAGCTCACCTATATGGACTACCTGGCATCCAGCTCGTCTGTATAGACTCCCTGGCCTTCAGCTCGTCTGTACAGACTCTCAGGCCACCCAGCTCGTCCATATAGACTTCCTGGCCTCCAGCCCCTCTATATAGACTCCCTGGCTTCCAGCTCGTCTATATAGACTCCCTGGCCTCCAGCTTGTCTATATAGACTCCCTGGCTTCCAGCTCGTCTATATAGACTCCCTGGCCTCCAACTCGTCTATATAGACTCCCTGGCCTCCAACTCGTCTATATAGACTCCCTGGCCTCCAGCTCGTCTATATGGACTCCCTGGCCTCTAGCGCGTCTATATGGACTTCCTGGCCTCCAGCTCGTCTACATGGACTTCCTGGCCTCCAGCTCGTCTATATGGACACCCTGACCTCTAGCGCGTCTATATTGACTTCCTGGCCTCCAACTCGTCTATATGGACTCCCTGGCCTCCAGCTCGTCTATAAAGACTCCCTGGCCTCCGGCTCGTCTATAAAGACTCCCTGGGCTCCGGCTCGTCTATAAAGACTCCCTGGCCTCCGGCTCGTCTATAAAGACTCCCTGGCCTCCGGCTCGTCTATATGGACTCCTTGGTCTTCAGATCGCTTATATAGACTCCCTGGCCTCAAGCCCGTCAATATGAACTCCCTGGACTCCAGATAGTCTATATAGACTCCCTGGCCTCCAGCTCGTCTATAGGGATTACCTGGCATCCAGCTCGTCGATAGAGATTCCCTGGCCTTCAGCTTGCCTATAAAGACTCCCTGGCCTTCAGCTTGTCTATAAAGACTCCCTGGCCTCCAGCTCGTCTATAAAGACTTGCTGGCCATCAGCTCGTCTATATGGACTCCTGGCCATTAGCTCGTCTATATGAACTGCCTGGCCTCCAGCTCGTCTATATGGACTCCCAGGACCTCCAGCTTGTCTACATCGACTTCCTGGCATCCAGCTCGTCTATATAGACTCCCTAGTATCCAGCTCGTCCATATAGACTCCCTGGCCTTCAGCTCGTCCATATAGACTCCCTGGCGTCCACCTCGTCTATAAAGACTCCCTGGCCTCCAGCTCGTCCATATAGACTCCCTGGTCTCCAGCTCGTCTATATCGACTCCCTGACCCTCCAGCTCGTCTATAAAGACTCCCTGGCCTCCAGCTCGTCCATATAGACTCCTTGGCGTCCACCTCGTCTATAAAGACTCCCTGGCCTCCAGCTCGTCTATAAAGACTCCCTGGCCTTCACCGCGTCCATATAGACTCCCTGGCCTCCAGCTCGTCTATAAAGACTCCCTGGCCTCCAGCTCGTCTATAAAGACTCCCTGTCCTCCAGCTCGTCTATATGGACTCCCTGGCCACGCAGCTCGTCTACATAGTCTCCCTGGCCACGCAGCTCGTCTACATAGACTCCCTGGCCTCCAGCTCGTCTATATGGACTCCCGGGCCTCCAGCTGGTCTACTTAGACCCCCTGGCTTTCATCTCGTCTATGTAGACTCCCTGGCCTCTAGCTCTTCTACATAGACCGCCTGGCCTCCAGCTCGTCAATATGGACTCCCTGGCCTACAACTTCTCTATATAGACTCCCTGACCTTCAGCTCATTTATATAGACCCCCTTGCCCCTAGTTCGATTATATAGACTCCTTGGCCACCAGCTCGTCTACAAGGAGAGGAATTTATTTTTCGTTAGGGAGAAAAGCTCTGAATTTTCTACAAGAAGCCTTCGTTTGAGAAGAGATCTTGATTTTATAACGCAAAGAAGGGTTGGTCTAATGTTGTGTAGAATTTTTGTTGTAGTTGGCAGAAAAAAAATCTTTTTTCTAAAAATATTTCAGATTTTTGCTTGGCAGACAATTTCATTTTTTAAAAGTAAAACCCTTCTTTAGATGAATCTCTTACGCCTCAATAGAAGATTTTTGGGTCTTTAAAAATGTTAAGGTTGTTTATTTAGATTTTCTATAAAAACAAAATCCAATAAAATTCCCAAAAAATACGCAATTAGAATTTTACGAATGATAAATCATGCTTCGAAAATGATAGTGTCACATCCACGCAGCTAGGGAATGTTAGCGTGTTGTTGATCTTTCCGGAGTCCAAAATAAATTAATTAGATGTAAATTAATTTCATTCAAATGAAATGCCTATGAAAGCTGGATAGGTTATAGGTCTAAACATGCTTTGTCATGTTACCAACGAACACGCAATTTACGAATATTGAAATACGCAGCACGCATAGATGAGATAAAAAAAAACACAGACGTGTTTCATCCAAAGTATTTTGAACTCAATTTCAATTCTCTTACAAAATAAGACCATTTTAATAAAATTATGATTTTCAAAAAAAAAAAAAAAAAAAAAAAAAAAAAAATCAAGCTTTGTTTATGAATATCGATCGAAATGCAAATTAAACGCATAAACTAATCTGCGGAATGGGTTTATTCGCATTGTTTCTGTTCATAAACATGAATGCGCAATAAAATAGCAAAAAATAAAATTCTTTTCGTTCCCATATTTTATAATATTTTATTCTTAATAGAGTGCGGTAATTTAGGTAGATCAATGAACTACGGGACTCAACGCTGTCAGTATTGGAGAGTTTCCTCAAATCGGTGATTTTTATTTTAATTTTGGCACAAAGATGTTGACTAGCCTAGGCTTAGGAATTATATGGGGAATTATTTTAAAGTAGCTCATATTCTGTATTTATTATCTATTTTCATACCTCCCTCACGGGCAGAATGATACTTACGGCAACTGTAATTGTCCGATGTAAATCAGGGACTTTTAGGGGATTTTGATGGGAGTTTTCGACAAAAAAGGGGTGTTTGGGAATTAAACAATGGGAATTTGGGGATAATATGCTGAGAAACACCGGTAACGCTGTTAGGACTGGATTTATTCTCATTTTTTCACAGAGAGATGAGAAAGAGAGCGAACTTTGCTAAAAAATTCTGACATCGAAGGAAATACAATAAACAAAGTACAGGTGTTCTCTCCCCATTTTTATTTGCCATTGATTTACAGGAGAGAGAGAGAGATAGATAGAGAGAACATATATTGTGGACAAGGCTGGTATAGAGAGAATTTCTTGAGAGAGATTTTTTATATTTCTCTTTCTCTCTCTTCCCCTTTGAAAGCATTTATGTTTACATTGTTTTTTTTTTCTTAATTTCAGGCCACTATAAAATCAGTGACCTGGACAAGGTAATGAAGGAGCTGCACATCAATTATGGCAAAATCGCCAAAGTTGGAGGACTAATTGGCCATCCTGATTTGCTGTTCGTTTTCGATGGCGATGAAATACGAAATATATTCAAGAAAGAGGAAGCAATGCCACATAGGTGAGTAACTGAGTATCCAAAAACCAGTAAAGAAAGTCTTAAAATCGGGCGGGGCAACGATATTTGGGGAAATAATGGGTGAGAAAAAACTGCAACAAAGTCAAACGCCATAATTTTTACATTTTTTCTTAAATTTCATGAATGAAAGCAAAAAATGTCGGAAATAGCATCCAATCTTAGAATAAGTTTAGATTTGTTCGGTCACCTTTGGCACGAATTATGGTCTTCATACGGCCAATGAAACCGTCACACGTTGCCCAAAAAAATGTTGCTCTGCGGTATTTTGGCCCGTTCCCGGCGAAGCGCTTGCTTGAGGTGATCGACACTTTGGTATTTTTTAGTGACAACCTTGTTTTCCAACAAAACTCCAGACACACTAGTCCTACGGATTGGTATCCGGAAATTTTTGTATCCATTGTGAGGAACCTCATTTTGTAACCATGGGGCTGGGTCCTGTTGAAATGTCCAAGGTCTGCAGCCAAAATGTTTGCGTGCCCAAGGCTTTAATACACCCTCCAGAATATTTTCGCGATAATATTCAACATTTATTCTGATGCCCTAGGTCGATTAATACCGAAGGTGCACATTTTCAGCTGACCTCTTTGGCATGTAAACACGATCACTTTGTTTACAAACTGCTGGACAACGAATGTTTTCTCATCGGAGAGAGAGAGAAAAAACCAAATTCGCCAGTTCACCACTTTCGGCCAAGCGAAGCAACTCTGTAGCTCTTTTGAGTCTAGTTTCTTTCTGTTGCGGTGTAAGTTCTTGCACTTTTTGGAATTTCAATGGCTTTACCCCGAGCTCATTTTGCAATATTTGCCGAATGAAATATTGCGATATGTTCAACTCACAAGCCATTTTTCGGCCTTCTTTACTTTTCGAAGCATTTCTGCTGATGTTGCTGTTTTCTTCCGTCCACTTCCTTGACGTCGCTACCAGTGAGGAGATTTCTTACATTTTTAGGGGAGGTTTTATTGCGTTTTTAGAGATCCACTCTCTATGGTCTTCTATGAGAGAAGTAAACTCTCTCCGGGAACTTATTTGAGATTTTAATGCTCTTCAAAGAGTTGATTTATTTTATCTGCGGATCTAAAATCTTGTATATATTGGGAAAGATATTCTATTTTCTTAATTTGATCCTGAGTCATAAAATTCCAATATGAAATATTTAAAAACTAAATTGGGATAAGGGCAAGAGAACTTAATTTCTCATCAACATATTAATACAAACGTTGCCATTCATAGCTTCCGAAATTGTTTGTGTAAACAAAAACTTTTTTAATAACAAGTTTCATTTTTTGTGGTTTTGGATTTTTAAAAGATTCCAGAACTACAAGAAAATAATGCCTATTTCCATAGTGTGAATGTATGTGTTTCTTTTTATCTCACCTAGTGATTTGGTTAACAAATTAAGTTTTTTTATTTACAAAACGATACCACGAAATTGACTATGTTTTTTTTTTAAATTTTGAAAAAAAATGTGAATATAAAGACGTAATTTTGACATCATTATAACAATTTATAAAATCATTCATATTAAATTTTTATGCAAATCTTTTTTTTGGTTACATTTCAAAATATGTTATTAAAAAACAGGGCTGAATGAAAAGTTCCGGGTTGATTTAGAACCCAATTAGCAAAAAAACAACATTTGAATACGGGGATTTTTTTTCTTTGGCTTAGAACATAATAGCCATCTTTGAAAAATTCCATTGAAAAACAAAAGGTTATTCGGGAGCAAAATAATGGCAATTTTGTTATTGATAAAAAAACAATAAATTTACAAAATTAAAAACAACTATAAATTATTGAAAGCCTATGGAAATTTTTCTAAAATTTTTTTTATGAGTTTCAGAGGCCTGTGAAATTTTCCAGAAGATTGTATGGATCACAGATGCGCCATAAAAATGTTTTCAAAAATTAAAATTTTATAGGTCTCAAAGGCCTATGGAAAACTTCCTTTAAAAATGTGTATTCCCACGGGGCTTATAACAATTTTTTCCTATAATATTTTATGGGTCTCAGGGGCTATAAAAAATCAGCAAATTAACCAAAGTAAAATAACTTGTGATCTTTTATAAAAACTGATGATCCTCAAATGTTCTAATTTGTATACCCTCAGCCATATGACTAGAGGGGTTATATATCATTTGATACGGCCAAAACATGCCACATCGAAATAACGGGTTTAGACCCTAAGACTATTTGAACTAAATATGTTTCAGGACATTTTGAGTCTAACTAGCGATGTCTGTCCGTCTGTCTGGCTGGCTGGTGCACACGATAACTCTCGAAGGGAGTATACGATTTGGTCCTAACTTGGTACATCGTAATATTATTATCAAACATAGATGGAGTTCGGAGATGGGCAATATCGGTTCACTCCTTTTGGTACCTCCCCCACAAAATGACAAGATTTTCAAAGAAAATATTTTACTGCACAGAAAAAAGAAAGAATAATCCGATTTTGCTCCAACTTTGCAAATCTTAATATTTGCATCAGTGCTAGTTCAGGTGCGAAAATGGACAATATCGGTCCAGGCTATCAAGTACCTCCCCCACAAACGGTCACAATTTTGATTGATTATAAATATTATAAATTGTGATGTAAGAGTCCGATTGTCTTCAAATTACACACATCGCAATATTTTTATTAGCCCAAGGTCTGGTGTGAAGATGAGATATATCGGTCTACTCCTTCTGGTACCTACCCCACAAAGGGCCAAAAATTTTGAATATTCATGGAGCTCATGGAACACGAAATTAACATCCGACTCCATTCAAACTTGGTACGTCTCAATATTTCTATTAACACAAGATCTGTTACAACGATGGTAGAGATCGGACCATTTCTTTTGGTATCTCCCCCACAAAGGGTTAAAATTTTGAATAACCAAAACGATCATAAAATCCGTGATAAGCATCCGGCTCTCTTCAAATTACACACATCACAATATTTTTATTAACCCATGGTCTGGTGTGAAAATGAAATATATCGGTCTACTCCTTCTGGTACCTCCCCCCCAAAGGGTCAACATTTTGAATATACATGTACTTCCCCCACAAAGGGCCAACATTTTGAATATTCATGAAGCTCATAAAATTCGAAATTAACATCCGAGTCCATTCAGACTTGATACATCTCAATATTTCTATCAACACCCCACAAGGGGCCAACTTTTTGAATATTCATGAAGCTCATAAAATTCGAAATTAACATCCGAGTCCATTCAGACTTGGTACATCTCAATATTTCTATCAGCACAAGATCTGTTATAACGATGGTAGAGATCGGACCATTTCTTCTGGTACCTTATAAGGTTTTTTTTTATGAAAATTCATGATTCTCGGATGTTAAATAATTTTTTTTCTATACTTTAAAATTCTGCAAAACCTGGAAACGTTTGTTGGGTTTTTTAAAAATTGTCTATAAAATATTCCTTAAATTTTGTAAATCACATTTTTTTTCTGTTTTTAAAACATCCGCCAAAAATCATCAAAGCATTTATTATGTGGACATATTCAAAGTGCTAAATGCCCGCACACAACACTTTCACTGATGCATTGCGCGTCATTAGGTAAGAGAGATGGTTTCAAGGTTATTAAGTGGTTTGTTTGTTTGTTTGCCGGCAGCACAACAAAAAAGCGTTTTGGTTTATTTACCAAAACTATTGGCAGAAATTAGCTTTATGGTGTTATTTTGCAAAATTTTTTGCATGAAAATATTCTTGGTCTAAACCCCCAAAATAAATATTTATTTAAACAATTAGCATGTTGGCTTTTTAATTACCAAAAGAAAAAAGAGGCAGCAAAACGTGTTTTAGAAAAAAAAAGATATTGCAATGTAAACACATGTCTACGTTACGTTTTGCAATGTTAGGCTAACTGGCCTGCCTGCCTGCCGTCAACTACTGTCATTGGCAAATAAATTCCCAGTCAGTAATGCAACAAAACAAACGGATGCTTTGTCTATGTGTCTGTCTCATTTGTGTTTTTCTCATGGTGAGGCTCTTCTCAATAATAATCCATACATGCCATGAGAAGCAGGGAGAACATGTTGTTGTTTGTTTATCCTCCACATTTCTCCTGTCTGTTTTGTCAGTATTTCACCTTTTGTTTTCAATTTTCAAGGAGATTGACTGAGTAATGATTCTGTGGTTTGCATGCAAAAGAAATGAGGGTGAGAGATGGGAGGAGAGAGAGAGAGTGTAATGTGTACTTGTGTTTTTGTTTTCCCTCACAACACACACACACAGAGTGAAATGACGTCAAATTGCTGTTGATAAAGGCTCTGTGTGGCTTTGGCCAGCAAAACGACCATGAATGAATGGGAAAGGACGTATAGAAGGATGGATGGATGAATGGAAGGATGCCTGCAAATTGTTGCAAAATACCAAAGAGGACCAGACATCAATGATGTGGCTGCTCTTCGGGGTAACAGTAATGCATGTGGTCTTGCATAAACACCTTTAATTGCAAGATTTAGACATTGAGATTATTTAGTGAGAGGGAGAGAGAGGAGAATAATAAATAAGACATATGGCATATTTGTGGCCAAATATGACAATTTTGGGGGTGGGAGAAATAAAAGCCACAATATGAGTGTTTATTTTCAAAAATGAGTGTAAAAAATGTTACTTAACTCCAACGGAAAAATAATATTTTGCAGGCCTTGAAGTGCAACGAAACAAATTTTTAAAAATTATGTAGACTTCAGAAACATAGGAAAAAATCTAAAAAATTTTGAGGAATTTCCATAAAATGTCAAGAATTTTTTTGTAAAAAATTGTGGGAATCCGAGAACTAAGAAAATGTTTCTTTATAAAATTGGTGGCTCGCAATGGTCTAAGAAAGTTTTTTTTATCTCCTTAGATATATGGCTACAGAGGGTATATACTTCATCGAAATAACGGTTTTAGACCTTAGGTCTCGTTGGACAAAAATCTGTTTCAGGACATATGGAGTCGATCTAGGGTTTTCCTCCTTTCGCCTATCTG